AACCTCCCCACAATAATTTTGTTAAAAATGTAATTCCCCCCGCCTAGTAATTGTCATTATAAATATCCTGTAGGACTTCCCGTATATTAAAACAAAAAATTTAATTTTCTAATAAAATTTCTCTACTGTTTATTTGAAATTCTTTAAACTTTAATGTTTTATAATAAACAAAAAACTATATTTGTAATACAATAATCACAATATAATCAATTACATTGATTGTCCTTTATACTATTCATAAAATACAATATGTGATTCCATATAAGATGACATACGATAGGCATTCTATCTATGTAGATCCATTCTATATACGTGCAATAACAAAATTAAATTTCTAAATATATTTTCATATTTTATCCACCGCATAATAAGTAAGAATACCAAAAAAAAAAAAAAATTTTAGAATTCCAAAATAAGAGCAGACAATTACTTGAAAATTTCTTTAATATTTTTTTTTTTACTACAATAATAGTAACAATAATAATAACAATAATACTCGTAATAATAGTAAATGATTTTATTAAATATAATATCATTTTCTATATTTTAGATTTTTTGGAATATGTTACAATTTTATAACCAGACCATGATACTTTGAATAACCTAAAAACTTCAATGTGGCATACATATATAAACATACACACACACATAATATTATACATAGGCAGTGTACAGTGCAATACGTTGAAGTATAAAAAAGGATCTGTTCCTTTTTTATATTTTGCGGTTACGTACTGCAAAAATATTATAATATTTTTTATTTTATAGTTTGTGTATATGTGAAAATATAAAAGACATCTGGCAGTAATCCAAAAAAAAAAAAAAGAAAAGAAAAAGATGAAAGAAACCATAATATTGATTGCGGAAAAAAAGGAGAACTTTAAAAAGCATAAATTCAATTGATCCTTATGAAAAATAATAGAGGAAAGTAAGGAATAATTTTTTTCTTTTTTGTCTTTTTGAAATTGGTATAAAAAAAAAACATTTGGACCACATTTCTATTTTAGTTTATGTATATGAATTTTTTTTTTAATCAAAATGAGGAAGAAATTCACATAGGGTAGAGTTTTGATTTGCTCCAAAAAGTTTCGATTAGTCAAAAAAAAATAAAGAAATGCCTGGATATAGTGGAATAAAATTGCAAAAAATTGCTTAAAATTGCAGTGCTATCAGATTTAATTTCTAAATTTATTTTTTTTTTCTAGTTTCTTAATAGTCTACATTCACTATTTTCTCCATATTTTGGAAAATGTGTTTAAGGATGTGCTTAATATTTTGCTTTTTTTTTTTTTAAATAATCGTAGATGCAAGAATTTTTAATAAAATTTTTGCTACACCGCAATGACTGTAATAGATTCTATATAAATATAGGCACAAATTAAAATTATTAAAAAAATTGGTCTTATTTTTAAAATGCAAATAGTTTTTTTTTATAAATCACACAAGAACAGCAATATTAATTCATTATCACGTTTTAGACCACAATATTTATCAGACCACAATCCTCATCAAGTAGCAAGAATTGTTTGTAAATTGGTTTTGTGTGGAAATTAGTAATAGTAATATAGTATTATTATAAACAAATTATTACTGAAATTATACGGCTACCGAAACTTAAACAATTTCTATCAAATTGTTTTAAAAATTGGGGTCAGACATTAAAAATTAAAGGTGCTATGGTCGCTATATTTGAAAAATTTTAAATATTTAATTTTCCCTAAAGGTTTATGTATACATTGTTTTTATTTCTACCAGAATGCTGGTAGATTTATATATAAATTTATTCATAAATAGCTTTAGACAAAAACTGCTTAAAAGATTCAAGTGAAAATTCTTGATATTTTAAAATGAAATGTTGCTATTGTTTTCAAAAAGTTTTAAGTACCGAGGAACATTAAAATGTTGATATAGATTCAATTAGATCTGTAGGACATGAAAATTTCCAATGTGATTCAACAACAAAAAAATATTTATAATAACAATTAAATTTAATGAAGTTTTTAACGATTCTAGATAGGCTAAAGAAAAAACAAGTTATAATTACCTTTATTGTTTCACTGGTTTTCAGAAATTCAATGTTGAATTTCTAAATTATTTAAAATAATTTTATTTTAATTTGAACTCATCAAGTTCAGGAACGTGTTAAGTTTTTTTTTTGTGCTACATATAAACGCTCGAAAATTGTTTCAAGTTCTTATCAATTTTTAACTTTCATTTTAAAATTTTTCTTTATACAAGATTCTTTCATTCGGTTGAAAAGAACATTAAGAGAAAATTGTAAATGTAATAAAGTGTAATAAAATGAAAAAAAAAGAAAATTTCAACAAGATTACCAACTTATATTGAAAAATTTCTATACACTTCTGTGGCCAAACCAAATCTAGAATTATTAAGCGAATTATTATGCTTAACAATAGTTCAGCATCTACCTTGAGTTTTAATAAATATGCAATATACTTAAAGAAAAAAGCTATTTATTATAATGCGTTTTTAAACGATTTTTCATTGATGTTTTGAAAACACTGCGCTCAGCTATTTTTCTAGCCCTCATAAATTTTTATGAGACAAAATATCCCAACTACGTTGAAATTATTCAATATTCAATAAGTCCACATTATTGTGTTTGCATGCAATAGTATATTCAATTCCTACATAATTTGTGTTGAAATACTATTGTTCGGGCATTTGAACATTGAATTTCATCTCAATAAATTTGAGCGAACTAATTGAAGAAATTCAAGCTGTTTAATTGGAAATTAAGTTTTAATAAAAAATTCATTATTGCAATTGAAACATTTGTTCTGTTTACCTTTAAAACTCATTTTTCAAACAAACCACATGTGTGCGTTAAATCATCCATTCGACATCCCTATTTTATAATACAGAATAAAAAATAAAGTGTGAATGTTGAAAAGTTCTTACTTCAAAGTTAGAAGGATTAAAATTTATTAGAGAGATGGGAAAAAAAAAAACTAGATTTTTTTTATAGATTTATAAGATTAATGTTATAAAATTACAAGCATTGATTTTGATTCAATTAAAGAGAAATCTTAAATTTTATAATTTAAGATAAAAGATTTTTAGTTTTTTTCTTCTTTCATTCAAGGAGAAAAGAAGTTTTTTTCTTTTAATTCAAAAATTGCAATAGTAGAGCAAGAAAATCTTTTTTTTGTAACAAGATTTAATTTATTATAAAATTTGTTTTTTTTTAAAATTTAATTTAAAGCTAATAAGAAAATAGGTAGTATAGGTGCTTAACACCTGTTACATTTGAACTTATTCACTTTAATTATAGTATAAAAGAATTCTTCTGAATTAATAGGGCAATTTCAGATTTATTAGAGGCTAAAAAAATTATGGGTGTTAAATAATATTGAAACCTTATTTCGAGTTTTTAAGTTTATGTTACATTGCTGTTCAAAAATTGTTTCCAATGGAATTCCTTCTTAAGAAACTTTTACTTGTTAAGTTGGAATTTCTTATAATTAATCGGCAGCATTATTAATCAAAAATAATTCTGAATTTCAAATAACTTTTATTACTGGTCACGTACTCCTTGATCTTTCATTATTAAATTAATATTAAAAATAATTTGTACGCTTTTAAATTTTCTACGAAGTTATAACAAAAAAAAATATTAAACACCTTAAGCATTTAGAACGGAAATTAATATTATAAATTCATAAAATAAAATGCAAAATGGAATTAAAATGAAAAATTAAAATTTATAATTAATTAGCACCGCATAATATTAATTATAATGAAGGAACCATTTTTTCAATATCCTTTTTATAAAACTGGGTTGAACAAATATAAAAAAAATGGTGAAAATTGAATATTTTAAAGGTGAATTTTCTTTATATGGAAGAATTTTTAATTATATTTTTTTCTTTGCGTTTATTGTAGAGCCAAATTTTTATTGATTTCCAGTTTTATTTTGTATAAAAGTTCTAAAAATGCAGAATTATGGAGACTTTAATTTTCTATACAAGATAACTACTTTTCTATTAAGTAAATAATTTTCTCGCTCCACCTGTATTAATACAATAATTATGAAGAGCTTAAAATACACAAGTTCTAATTCAAGTTTGCAAATTTATTCATAATTTCTATTTAAATCCATTTTGTAAGTTAATTTACAAAAACAAAAACCTTCATGATGACTAGAAATTAAATTTATTGCACTTAATTCTACTCAATATTACTAATTTCGAAAAGGCGTGAAAAGAGTTAGAATATTATTTAATTTAAGGTGTGCAAATATAAAATTTTTTTGTATTATTTATTGGAATAATGTTGCTTAATATATATGAAATAATACAATGTAAATACCGCAATATCAACACGAATAGAGAATCAAATAAATAAAATTAAACTGGAAAACAATAAATTTTGATGGTAATTCAATAATGCCATTTTGGTAATAAAAATTAGAAAAACTATAATAAATTTCTATTTAACCTTGTAAATAAATAATATTGGCGGAAAAAGTTTGTTTAACTGCAAATAAACAGTAATAGGTGAAAAAGTAAAATGTTGAAATTTTAGATAGAAACGCCTAGCAAACACTCAGAAATATCAAATACACAATAATTATTTTCTAATAATCCTATTTTTTTGGTAAAGCACCATTTGCATCCACACTTTTATTTCTTACTTTACAAATTATACCCAATATGTGAATAGCAACATGTGGATAACTCGTACAATTAATTATACACCGCTATAAGCAAATCCTTAATTCCTAAAAATTTTAACCTGTTAATATTTGTAATACCTCCTATTTAAAACCTGTTAATACCTTTATATGTGAGACCACGTTATGAGTTTTCCAAAGGTACCGTTCTTCCCTTAATCACAACACACTCTGCCTAATACACTGAACTTATTTTTGCCATAATATAATCTTATAATTTTTTCCCTGATTAATTCTTGTATGAATTTAGTTAGTCCAGATTTTAATATAATTCGCTTTCTTAAGAAAAGAAAAATTTCATTACCTTCAAACATTTTTCCGTTATTAATTTCATTTTCCATTTTTAATCTCCTGTTCTTTCTGTACTCTTTTTTTTCTTTTATAAAACGAACTTTTCCTGATTAAGGTGTAAAAAAAAAATTGCATATATAATAAAAAACTTTCTTTCATAACACTTTCAACATTTAGAACGGAATTTCCTTTTAAAATTTTCCGTTTATTTTCTTTATTAGGTTATAGTTGAAAAAAAAAATTATGTGCAAAGGACGGAAAAGAAAGACCAATTTTTTTTTTCGCGAATAAAATTTCTGTCCTGATTCAACTTTTTCCTCTTGATAGCCATAAAATTCCAATATGTATTTTACATGAAATTTATTGGTACTTTCCTTATCACCTGTTTTTACATATATATACATCCGTTTTTATATAATAAGTATAGATATGGTAAATTATTAATACAGGTAAGTGGTGTTGAACAGCAATGCTCATATTATAGTGTTAGTAATAAATTCACTCTTTTGTAGAAATCTAAGAGAAGCAATATAGGGTGTGAGAATGTATTCAGAGTGGAATTTATCCCCTAAGTAGTGTCAAAAAGTTTAATCGTGTTTGTACATAACTAAAAGAATATATTATAAATTTTACAGTATGGCTAAATAAAATCCATGCAATATTTTAACGGTAGTAATGTCGCAGAAAAAATTCAAAAAATTTACGGCGAAAATACGGCGAAAAAAGCTTCCACTATTAGCTTACCCATACATTGCTCTGTTTCGCACAAATGCTGGTATAAACAAAAATAATTAAAATGATGATCAATGATGCAGATATTATACAGTTGCAGATAATACATAAAGAATCTGCGATTCATAATCTTGTCGAATTTATATAATTAAAATATATCCAATGTTGTATATCTTAATATCTGTCCTAGAAAATATAATTAATATATCACAAACCTTTAAATATGTTAAATAAAAATTGAATATAATGCATCAAACTCTTAAACTCTCCATCTGAAACGATCTACCAGACGATAAATTGCGCAAAAAATTTGTCACCATAGCATTATTTATAACAGAAGGTAAAGCAAATATCTTATAACCCGCTTTAGTTAATAAAACATTAGGTCTCCAAGGAGGTAAAATTTTTCTTTATCATTTTAAAGAAATTTAATAAAAATACTAGGATTAGGTTTAAAAATTTTGGAAAGAAGTACTTTATTAGAACATGTTACTGGAAATCATGATTGGTAATCAGTTGTTCTTTTGGCAATAACAATGACAAAATTATTTAAAATTTTAATTTGAAATTTCAATAGAAATTTTAAGTAATTTAAACATCAAAATACAATTTAAAAATTAAAAGAATCAACCGTTTTAGAAAAATTTTACATTTTCTGCGAAAAGAGCAAATCTATTTTAACTTTGCGTTGAATATTTTTTTCCCTGACTTAAATTACAATTTGCAGCATAAAATATTCAAAAATCGCATTGCAAAAAAAAAAATTTAATAAAATTTCCCATCCTAATAATTTGTAATATTTTTCCGAAAATTTCTGTAAGCATTCAATTTCGAATTAAAAATATTATTATTCATGCAAATCGAAATACTATTTAGTTGGAAAATTGGAATTTTTAGGTTTTCTAATTACTAAACCTAAAAAATTTGGTAACATACAATAAAAAAAAATTTAAAATGAATTTCATGGTAGAATTGAGAAGGGAAACAAAATTAAAAATTTAATATTTATCCAATGTGGTCAAATTTAATTCCTTTTTGTTCAATAAAAGCCCATGAAAACGCACAGTTTACTTTAATTGTATGTGAAAAAAATAACTTGTGTAATTTAAATTTAAATTCATTTTTTTGTAAAATTCACGATTTCAAAGAAATTTTATGAAATATTCTTGCAAAACAGTAATGAAATTAACGCACTCGTGAATTAAGAAAGAAATCCACCATTCACTAAACTTCTTCTCATACTTACCCTTTTTGTAGTAAATTATTTATATAAGTATAAATAAATGTGAGGAAATGCCCTACTTGGTTAACTCTAAATATCCTCGATGGATGGAGGCTCTCTTGGGCATGACCCTGCTTCATGCTCATTATAAGAAGAAGGTCATGAAGGGAGCATTGTGAATACCTGCGCCACCTCAGTATTATGAGAGAGATCAGCAGCCTTCAGTACATGTGGCTGTCCATGTACTTTGGTCCGAAGGTGAAAAACGTAGGTTGTGAATCTACTCGAAAGGCAGATCTGGGGCGAGGGAGGTCCGCAACCCGGTCCTGGATCCGTGATCTTCTACACGGATGGGTCCAAAAGCAATGAAGGAGTTGGCAGGGGTGTGTATCGCGAAGGCGTAAATATTACTATTTCAGTAATATTTTTATTATTTACTGAAATAGTAATAAGTATTTGGGGCTATCTCGTCTGATATAAGTACATGGATCCAAAATTCTAAGGGAATGCATTGAAGCCCATTACATCCAGGTTATACTACAATTTTTCAGGGACTTATATATTATAGTGCTAATGTAGGAGGGGATGAGAATTACAAAAGATCCTATATGGCTCGACGTGATTCTAAGAACCTAAGAATTAAAGATTCACTTAAGCGATCATTTTACTTTAAAATTTCCTCAAAACAATACTTTAAATTTCATTTTAAAAAGTTAAGCTATGTCATTAATTTTCAAAACGAATTTTAATTTTTATTTTGAAAAAAATTTTATAAAACAAAGAAAACCACAAAGATAACAATAGCATAACAACTGTAACAAACACCCACACTACGTTGAAATCCAATTACATTAGAAATCGTAAGATTTTTGAGCAATCCTATAAAATTTGTTCAGCAAGTAACTCTATATATAACTTCATACTTTTCATTTCATGATAAAATTGTGGTTCAAATGAAAATGACGAAGTTATTAAAAGCTTTAAGAAATTTCTAATACTCGTACTCGTATAAATTTTAAGTATTCGAAATACATGATTCTATATCAAAGTAAAAAATAATGTTGAAAGAGTAAAAATTCACCACAACTTATAAAATATTTTAAAAGTTTTAATACGCTGAAATTTCCAAATTTGGTACACTATTAAATTCCAATATTCATTATACCAACAAATATATCTCGTTTCCAATGAAATTATCTTGAGGTTTCTTGTATTAATTATTGTTTACCGGTTCAGAACGGCTATTTTTTACAGGAAGACTATGAATAAGCAATAATGATATTTTGTTCCAGGAAAATTTTACATATACATAATTCAAATACACAAAATCATTATCTCTAACATTAAATATGTATTTGCAAAGGATTTAGAATAAAATTTTGTAATAATAATAATAATTATGTATGTAATAATAATTAACTTACCTGATGGCCATAACGGTTCTATATTCTCCAGTATTAATTTTGATGTTGTTTTAGTTTTATTTTGTACATCAATAGACGATGTTGTATTCAAGACTGTGGTTACATTTGGCTTAATATTCATTGGAACTTTTATGTTTATAGTTATGGGAGTGGTATTTGTGGTAAATGTGGTATTCTTATTGCTATTATCATTATTATAGTTGTTGTTGTTGTTGTTACTTTTGACAACTTCTCCTTTTACAGTTTTATAAAGAAATGTTGTTAATGTAATTTTTGCTGTTGTTGTTGATTCTGTTGCAGATTTTGTTGTTACCGACATTGTCGGTTTTATATTATTATTTTGAATATTAATATTTATCCTTGAATTTGATGTATTATTGATATTGTTGTTAGTGATGTCATTTCTAAAATCATTTTTATTATTTCCAATTATTATAAAAGAATTTGTTTTATTTTTTGGTTTTTGTGGTATTACAAAAGTTTGCTTGTTGTCAACTGTAATAAGAGCAAAAAAAAAAATATTTGCTGGTTATCTGATTTAATATTGAAAGTAAGTAGTAGTGATATTGTAGGTGTGTACATAAATTATACAATAATGGGACTTTTCAGAGAACTCATGTAACGGTTAGATGTACAATGTTACAAAGGATTCTTCTTAGAGAAACTGAAGGTCTTCTCACAAAACTAATATGACCTAATCAGTATAATATTATAAGTATGATATGTATGAAATGGATCACAATCATCTCCTTGCCACAGAGAAAAGTCATTCGTTGGGCCATCCTAATATGTTTGTCAATTAAACAGTTACCATATATACTCGTAGCCGTTCTCACAAATACACAAATCGTTGATATTATAGTCCGACATTCAAATGTCGAAGATATAGTAGATCTTTCCTCCGACGCAGATTTAACTTTGGATTTTTACTACGTGAAATGCTTTTTGATTCTGATCACGTGAAATGCTTTTTGATTAGCCCACTTTCAACTGGTTTGCTCTTATACATACTCAGATGGCTGTCCAAAATGTATTTTTAAAAACATCCACCTTTTCACAAAACCTGTATGTATTTCATAAGCATAACGTAGGCATTCTTCCAAAGTTGGTATATTTTGAAATTTCTTTAAAAAATGAATGAATCAAAATACAAATTCATTACATCATTTGCAAAAACATTTTTTTTTTTTTTTGCACCTTCAATCAAATATTAAAACTTATTTATGTCCTCACGGCGGGATCCTTTCAAAAATAAAAATAATTGTCTTTACTTTTCCTTTTAATCACAATTATCTACAATATAGGTTTTACTGCTAAGTTGCTACAATACTTTTATAATAAACGTAGGTATGAACATAATATATAGTACTTATAACCACATGTATGCAGTAAGGCATTACATAATCTATCTCAGCTCTTTGCTCGTCATTATAACATGTAATTATTATTTCTCGAATGGAATGTTATTATTATAATAAATAAAGATTTCGAGAAAATATAATTATGCCATTATTATAATAACAACGATATTAAGTATGTATGTACGTAATTTAACTATATAATCAGTATAATAAAACATACCTGGTTGATTTTCTGAATAATTATTTTTTTTATTGAATAAAATATCAATGAAACGATATCTGGCACTGAAACCAAATGATGTACGATTTGCACTTGCTTCGAATTCAATAAGAAAATTTGGTCCGGAACTGATAATTTTACGGCTAGGTGTTTCATTACAAATTACATCAACTATTGATGATTTATCTGGTGTTTTACCATCATATATGATTATTTTATCAGTATGTCCGAGACAACTATACAATATAAATGTAATAAATAAAGAGAATTATTATTGTTATTATAAAAAATGGATATGAGGAGAAAAAAAAATTGTATAAAAATATGAGATCAAATTCTTTAATTGAGGAAATTAATGAAACAGAGAAAAGGAAAAAAATAAATATTGATTTTAGTATTTTTCACATATATTTGTTTGGTCAGACAAATGGAAAATTGCCAAAAAAAAAAACTTGTATCTGTACAGGTTGTAATAATAAATCTCCCACATAGTGCAAATATGACAATAACTGAAGAGAAAGTTTAATTGTAAATAAAAAAGAAAGTTATTTATTTTGTAGACACCACACACATTTACGCTTGAATTAAATTTACGTAGCTTAGTAAACAGCATTACACGAAGTCAAAATATCATAAGTAAACTTAAAACTATTTACGTATTTGATGGAAATTTTGATCAAAAATGTAACAAGGTCTACTGGCGGTCTTTGGTTATAAAATTATTTGAAAGACAAATTTCATTAAACATTATAGCACTTCATAGGTAACGACCGCAAAATATTAATAATTCCGTGGAAATATATTCTTGAACAGAATAATTTTGTTTCAGACGCTCTTATATGTACCAACTTATAATCTTTATTTAGTTGTTAAAGAATGAACTTTATCGAGTCTCCATATGAACAAAGGATGTACTAATTTAACTGCTTTAATAACTAGTATTTAACTTATATTAGAATTAAGTAGGATTAACTTACTTAATAAATTAATTTTAGTTATGTTTTTGAATTATTCATTTTTAAGTTGTCATTAAATCGAATAACGATCCCTCCACATTGCTTTACCTTAAATGTAATATCTTAAATGTTTATATGCTTAATTGTTTACTTTTATTGTCATATTGCCATAATAAGAAGTTTGAATTTATAAAATATGAAAGGAATGAAAAATTAAATATAAAAATTGTGGGGGATTAATTAATTTCTATGTAGAAAGTGAGGCATCCCAATTTGTTTTCAATTTTGGAAATCAAACAAAATTTTAGTTTAAATTTTGAATTAAAATTACCTGCTATGTCCTGTTAATAAGAGGATGTCATCAAATATTACTTCAACTCGGTTCTGAAATCTGTTCAAATTAAAATGATTAACATTTATTAAAATTAGTCTACGACAAGTCTGTAGATGGCATGATCAACTGGTATGACGAAATTGTATCATTAACCGGAATAAGTAATCGCGTATTGCTGATTTACTAGATCAACCTGTTTAACGAATGGCCAACATGTATGTATGAGCAAATGGCATGACAAATATGTGTGAAAAACCGGCATAATCAATATGCATTAATAATCGGCCTGTTCAACTTGCCTGCGTTGCATGTATGAACAATCGCCATGACCAACTTGTATGATCACAATGCATGAACATTCTGCATGACCAAGACCAGCATGCATGAACAACAGACAGGACCAATCTGGCATTACGCCAGATACGCCATAGCTTCCAAACCAATAGGTTTTTAAAATTTTTTTTTAAAAATCACCGCAGAAGTTCTCAAAAAATTTCATGGTGGTCGAATTAATAGTGTATAATATAAATTTGTACTGTTTAGTAGAAAATATGAATAATTTCAAATTTTTCCTATATACTTCTGCAAGATCAAAAGTAGTAAAAATTTTAAATCTCGCTTCTCTTACACCATAGATCACGTCAACGTTTATTGGTAAAATATTTTGATGTTGTGGTTATTGCATTTGTTATACGATATTTGAATTGTATTTGTGAGAAGAATTTATCCCATTTTTAAATAGATATAAAATATATGGAAGGCATCAAATATGTGAATAGAAAACTTATACAAAATACTCTACACGAGAAACTATCATGTTTTGTAAAAATTCGAAAAACAAAAATTCTCAGATAACCATATCTATATCATATTTTATTTTGTTAACAAATCCATACATATTTATGTACATAATAGATATGTAGTACAATTTGCTTTCTTATTCACTCTTAACAAAATTTAGAATATAGATAAAAATCAATAAATGCATGAATTTTTATTTCAAATCTGAAAATTTAAAAAAGTAGTTTCCAAAAAGGTAATATGAGTATTGGGTACTTATTGCTTTTCTCTACAAATTTCTTCTTTGGAAAAACGTTAAATTAACTGGCACGACCATTAAATTTTTTAAAACGTTGCTATTCCAAACAGCGATTAATGTTCCGACCAATTTTCTTGCGCTTAACCTGTGCAACTTGCAAGTATATAATTTTGCCAAATATTTTATGCAAAAAGTGCGATCAATGTTAAAGTGGGTAAAATAGATTTAAATTTTTTTTTACTTGAAATTTTGATTTTAAAATTCTAAAAATTTTAAATCACATAGATTTTCAATATACAACTTCAAATATTTGAACCTTACCCTCCAATAAACATATATGAACATTTTATATGATTTGGATATTTTGCTGGATATCTAGGTGAATAAAAATATCTCCATACATCTGATTCGTTATTAATATTAAAACCTTGATAAAAATCAATTCTCTTAGAATAGTTGACAAATTTGATTGGCACATGAGGTAAAAATTCATAGTCACAAAATGTTGACGGTACTAAATTTCCATCGGTTTTGAATAGATCTACAAATATAAATAAATAAAATCAAGTTTGTTACAATTTATATTCACATAATATAATGCAAATAAATCCATACATATATATATATGTATAAATGCTGCTATTCAATTTATACATAAAACAAAAAACTTAAAATATTGAATAAACAGGAAGCCATCCGCTAAAAGTAAACAAGAAACAAAACAATTCCATTTTTTTTTAAATATTCAATTGAAATCAAATTGAATTTCATGTTATTTAAAACAAAACAGAAAAACAAAAATTAAATACAAAACAAATTACACGGAAATATAACGTTAAAAATATACGTCAGATTCCATTGAAATTCTACTACACACACGTTCATAACAAAGGTGAATAATGCAAAAAAACACCTACAACAAAAAATGTTATTTCTTTGGTTATCGCTACACACTTATACATAATCACATAAATCTACAAAAATATTTGTATATAAAATTGTATACATATACTTTACTTTTATCTATAAACTTGAATTTTCCAATAACTTCAAATGGTTGATTTTGGTTTAGGTGCCCATAAATCAATCGCATAGCAAGAACTTTTTCTGTACAGCAAAAAAAAAAAACAAAATTAAAACAAAAAAAACTTGTAAGTACCAAAAATAAAAAGTATGAGAAACTAAAAACATAAAATCAGAAATATATTAAATTTTATATGTATAACAGTAAAATTTTATAAAACAATGTTGAATCCTTTTTTTGTTATTACAAATTCAAGTCAGTGACAAATTGTACTTTTATTATTTTTGTTATTTTTATAATTTTTAAAATTTTTAAATTTTACCTGAACTAAAAATTGATGATGAACTTTCAATATGAAATTCTTCATTTCCTCTATTAAAATTCATTGGTGAATTTTTTCCATTTATTTGCAATCTATCGAATTGCTTATGAAGGTTTGTGTCTTCAATAATATTATTTTTATATTGTACATTAATATTATTAATTTTATTTTCACCAAGACTATTGTGAATAAAGGTTTTTGTATTTGATAAAGTTTTATTTGAGTTTGTTTCAAAATTTTTTAGTAGGAATTGATAAACATTCTCAAAACATACTGTATCTTCCGGTTGATTTGTTTCCTGAATATGTGGTTCACGTAAATTTTCAAATATGTGTATTTGATCTAAGCACCTAAAATAATAGAAAAATGTTCTGTAATCTGAATTTAGTAAAACTTACACTTGTTAATAAAATTTGTAAAAATTATATTAATATATTTTGCAAATTGTAGCGTCTGTAAATGCAATTTGGTAATAATATGGAAAAATATCAATGACACATCGTGTTATACATAAATTTTCTAAAGCCTAACACACATAACATTGCAACTTTGCAGTATGACGATTTGATAATTTTGAAATAGAGTTTTGTGCGCTTTTACCCAGTATTTTAATTTTATCAATAGAAAATTTTTAATTTAGCCTCGTCGGTTTACATCGCAGTAAGAAACTTCAGTAATTTTCTTTATTAAATAAAATTGGCCATAAAATTGTTTTAGCAGTTCTCCAAAGAATTGCTTTATTGTACAACTAAAAATGACCCTTAGGCTATAGAAACCCGAAGTTTTAATAACAAAACAGAAAACAATTTTATAATATTTTAATTATTTATTTGTAATGCTTAAAAGTTAGTTTTGAAACTTATCAGAAGAGAATTTTTAACAAAAGCAAGAAAATTAAATTTTTAACTTGTTTCGCTTGATTCTGGTTCTTTTTCGTTTGGTTCTTCGGCTTTAACATGTTCTCTTCTTTTCCTTAGACCACAAATCATTTTACAAAATGCTTGATAATCAATTAATTTTGAACGATCATCTAAACTTTTTGGTTTTGCCAATGGTGCTTCTCTAAGTGCCTCAACTGCTTCAGTTTTTGAAAATTTATCACCTTTATGCATCAGATCGAAAAAAATTCTACAATTATAGATAAAAAAGAGCATAAATGCGTATGTAGCTATTTTCCATTTTTCTCTTTTATAATGTAAAAATTTCAGTGGCTTCAAGCACAAACGACTTAAGTCTGTTTTAGTGATTTCGAGATAAATGCATTTTAAACTTTAAATTAAATTTTGAAAAAAGTTATGAAGTTTTTTGAGCCAATTTTTTTTTTTATCGAAAGATAATTAAAAAAGGAAGCGATTAACTCATAATCTGAAGTAAAGCAACTAATAGTATTCTCATAATTATGAAAAAAGTGAGATAGGCGGTTATACAAAATTTATAAAAAGTACTTTGCAAAGCATAACTCGACTTAGGCGATTTGTGAAAAATTACTTTTGTATTTTCGTCAAACTTAAGTCGACTTAAGCTGTTGTTGCAAAACTGAAAATATGGTTTTAGGTGACTTAAGTTATACTAAAAAGGGAAGAAATATATGTATTATTTGTACGTTATTTGATTTTTCACTTTTTTTTCAAATCATTGTCATAAAAAACATAAATTGAGGTAAAAAATGAATAAACTTCAAGTAACAATTATTTCTAAAAGTTTAAAAATAATTTTTTCATTAAATTTAAGCAAGATGACAGTATCTTTTATTCTCTCTCGGATTCTCCAACTAAATATGGATGAGTATCTGCTAAATATCCAGTCTTAATCGTTTTGTAAAATTTGTAAACCAACAGATTAAAAAATTGCATCAAGTACTCTAAGTTTTTCTTTTTTGGGACTAATTTTCTCTTCTTCTTCAATTTGGAGCATGTCTTGAAAATCTAACTAGTTAACACCTCGTCTTAAAATATAAAAAATCTTTGTATAAACTGTTCTTGTAAAATATTTTTGGAAGTCAATTTTTTGAAATCTGTGGTGCGACTCTTTCCACTTAAGAGAATTTCAAAAGGTAATTCAATTACAAAAAGGCTTCATTGTGCAACGGATCTGACAAAGTTGTTACATTATTGTAAAAATGAGCACATAAAGTAATCTCTAAAATGAGTTTATGAGTTTTGTGTTTGTTATTTTATTTATGTACTATAGTCCATATGACTTTCTTACTTGTTCATAATGATACTAAATCCGAATTAATTAAAATTTTTAAATTAAAAACAAAATGAAATCGAGTGTGAGTCATTACAACTACTGTAATGAAATGTCAAATTTGATACTGAACTCGAACTCGTATAGAAAATAATAATTCGATACTTGTCAAAATTAAATCTTGGAGACGTATTATTAACGTATAGAAAATGGTTTGTTCGTCAGTTTTTCTCCAAGTTCTGCCGTAAAAAGTATATAGATCTCCGTAAAAAGTTGTGGCAAAGTAAATTGGTTCAGAATTTGCTCTCCTTTCATAGAGTATATAAGTATTTGATTATCAAATAAACAAAAAATATTGTAAGTTTGCACGACATTTTTATTTTAGCTGTCAGCATTTACTTTTCAATTAAGACTCCATACAAATTGACCACGAGTCAGTTTCGAGCGTTCATGTACTTGAGTGCATTGAGGAAGCCCGGTCGCGAAAGATTAAGCGAATTTTTCTAACCGTTCGGCAAATTGTAAAAGGATTTTTCTTAAAAGAATAAAAGTAGAAAGCCTTTCATATTTTTTTATCTCTACAGATATGTTCACATGCCCAATAGGACTCGAAAACTTGCTTTTGAATGTTGTCAATTTTAAAATCAGGATCATTAATACAGTCACCACGATCAAAGTCAATTGCGGTTTTCAAAACTGTATTAACTTCGGTTTTCAAAGTAAGATCTGTTGATACTTGTTTATTTACTATAGAACCAGTTTCGCTAATTTCTATGCTTAAAAACACTTTGAATCCGTTATGTTAATTTCAAATATATTGCAATACATCTAATATCCACCACAATCATTTCAGCTCGAATAGCAAGTTCCAAAATTTTTAACGTACATTGATTAAGCGTGGATAAAGTTTATATTGGATAATTTTTATATTATTTAACAATTTCCAACATAAGCACATTTAAAAACAATAATAAATAACTGTCTTTGTAAAAAATACTTCCTTCGAAATAACAAAAATATCATAAATATTTGAAAATCGAAGAAATTTGAACTCACGGAAATGAGTAATAAAAAGTATAACAAAATATTGTTATTCCCAGATGTACCAGTTTTATTTATTGAAAAAAAACCCTTGCAAATTATAATAATTTGAATTTCCTAACAAAATGTGTTTTACTAGTGTATAATAAAAGTATTGCTTTGTAATACAATAATTAAAATAAAAACTCTTGTTAAACACAAAAATTTTATCTTCCTAATAACATGTGTTTTACAAGGGCGTAATAAGACAACACTTTGTTTAATAATACAATTATGTAGACCACAAAGGCAAAACAATCTACCATCAGGTAGCTAGCCACGTGTCATTTTAACATGGGAACTCCGTCAATTGAAAAAAACATTTGTCGCAGGTAAATCACGAAATGACCTACAAGATTATTTGTTAAATAAAAAAATTCAAATCTTAAACATGGGATATTTGGGTAATTAGAGCATTAATAATGCAGGTAACTTGTGCAGATGTTTTATATTTTGGGTTAAAAAATACAACTATCTTACTTGTCGCTGAATGTAAGATTTAATTTTAACTATAGTGAACAAGTTTTAAACCATGGACATAAAGTACCTACACTATATATCACATAAAATAATATGTTAAGCGTTATAAAATATTTTTTATTATAAAAAACTAAAAAATATTCTATACTGATCATGTATTATTTCGAACACTAAACGCTTAACTTCGATGTATTGTTCTTATTTGCACGCGTTATAAAAACCTAACTCGACATAAGAAGCCTTTTGGAATATAATTGCATTTGCAATAATCGCCTAACTCGAGATGAGTTTAAAAAACCACCAATTATTATTTTACACAAATCGCTTATGTCGAGTTAGTATTTAAAAAAATTCAAAATTAATTTTGCAACAAAAGCCTAACTCGAGATAAGCGGTTGTAAAAATTCATACAAATAAAAAAAAATGTCACTAATTTTGATTTGCAACAACAGCCTATCTCGAAATAAGTGGTTTGTCAAAAACATAAAAAAGATGTTTTCTGATCTTAACTCGATTTAGGCGATTAGTGCAAGTGCACATTGTTGCCATTTCGAGTTAGGTCATGTGTGAATTCGACAATAACTCCGGCTACAACAGTCGTAGAACCACCAAATTTTGTGAGCATATGAAACTCAAAACGGAGAATTCGCTGGTAAACATATCTCATTTTTGTCTTAACTCGAGTTAGGCGGTTTGTGTTTGAGGCCACTGATTTATAGAATATTAAAATAAAAAAATAAAACACCTATCTTCGTCAATTAGACCGGTACCATTTATATCCCATTTACTCCAAGCTTCTAATAAAACATCTTCAGGATCTAATTCTATTGTTTTGTATCCCATTAGCATAACAAATGAATCAAAATTAATTGGTTGCATTGCTTCTTCCATCATCATTTTAATTTCTTCATCATCAACTTCTTTGCCAGTTGCAACATATGTTGATCTTAAATCTTCTTCTGATATTATACCATCATTGTCCATGTCAAACATTGAAAATGCCTATTATAAATTATTTTGTCAATTCAAATTACAAACTGTCCTTTATTTCTTCAATTACGGTAAATTAAACGCTCTTACCTCTTTCAATTCAAATATTTTTCTTTCATCTAATTCATTTAGTGCTTCAACATCATCTGCAGTTACAATATCTGGGGCAATATATTCTCCGAATGTTTCTGGTTTTTTAAATGTTGGATTAAAAATTTCTTCAATAGCTTTCAAAGCAGAAGATCGTCTCTCTTGTGGTGGTTCTGGTTCTTCGACTTTTGATTTTTTTCTTTTCTAATAAAAATTTTTTAAATTTTGGAATTACTTCAACAAAAAAAATTTATAATCAGAGCACAAATTAGATTGATGTAGTTTTCAAGGAAGAAATTTTCTATAATCTATTCACTAATTATATAATTTGTTAGTATATAAGCGAATATTATTTCAGAATCGAAAAATTCTAAAGCCAATTAAAAGAACATTTCCGGTTTCAACAAGCGTCTTAATCCGGTTCAAATTGGCATATTAACAAATTTATTTCTCACATTTTTGTTAAAACGTTCTAAGCATATAACCCTGAGTCTATTTATTCGCGTTCCTTTGGAGATAAAGACCAAGGGGAATTTGAATAAATAGAAAAAAGTACAAGAAAACTAGTAAGAAAATTTCTGAATTGATTTCGTTAATCGCTTTCTTTTATAATCCATTAAATTTTCTTGCTTCTAAAGTGGTTTGTGCTTCGATTTCAGTAGCAAGTATTTATTTTAACATAAATAATTGATATTCTTAATAAATACCCGCAAATGATCCGGTAATTCCAAGTTGATTGCATGAGGATCCATTGTTATTCACAGAGTAATTCCTAGTTTGTTTCCCAAATATTTTTACACTTTATATACACTACTTAGAACGCTTCTTTAACGAAAGCTATTAAATATTGTAATCCGTCAGCTTTGATTATGATTTATTATATAAAAAATTAAGACGAGTAGTGAGAATCAACTAATTAAAAATATTTAAGCAAATACGTTTTTATAGATTTCTAAAAATTAATTTTTACCTTTGATCCCACCAATTATTATAGAGGGAAACTTATTAAATAAAAAATACTTAAATTTCCTTTTAATTTTTATATTCTTTACTTTTTATTATTTTTTTTTTTAGTTATCATTTCCCTGATGCAAATTCTCAATCCCCCGGAACATTTTATATTTTATTTATTTAATTGATTTTTAATAAAATTAAAAAAACATAAATAACGCAATTACTTTGAAAAATTCGACAAAAATTTATCCAAGAGCAATCCTAAATTTTATTTTAATGACGTTGCACCTGCACTTATCTGTTCTTCTTTTTTTTTAAATATGGGCGACCAGTGCTAGAAATTTCTGTATTTTGATTAAATTCTCATAGTATGCGGAAAAGTTTTAAATATGAAATAAAATTTTAAATAATTTTTACTACAGTTGTCGATGATGAGCTTCAAGTTGAAGTTTCAATTCACTTGCAAAAACTAAACCAAGCCTCTAAAAAACTATGGGTTTTGCCATATTTTAGTTCTTATGTTCGAAGTGCCAAATCTTAAAATCTCGACACATACCGTGACTTCAATAATGCTTTATAAATATTTTAAGTACGGTATTAATACGATTGCAGTGCTGTCTCAGAGCTTTCAATACCTTTACATTGTAAAAAAAATTGCTAAAGCTTTTGATACATTTTGGAATACAATTTTTACAATATTAATGCACACTTTGACGTTTGTTTGAATATTTCAATTTAAAGTTCTATGCAAATATTAATTTTTAACAAACGTTACCACGTCATTGATAAAATAGCATTTTTAGAATAGCATTTAAAAAAAAAACTTAAGAACTTGCACTTTATTGCTCAAAATATATGCTTGCTTATTTAATTGATTATTTCTGGCAACATTTATATGACATGTATAAGAAAAACGTACTCGATTTTTTCGATACCCGAATTACTTTTATTTTGCGTATCCACTACGTATAGAACGCATTTAGGAACGTGTACAATGTCAAGAGCTTTTACTAAACTTTTTGGAATACTTTGCAAGGTTTATGTCGTAAGCGCATTGCTGAAGTCACGGATAATCGGCATCTAGACCTTTCAAAGTTTTATTGATTGTGGTTATCAATATTTATTAGCTATGTGCAAAAGATGAAAAAAAGTCTCCTATAAAATTTTAATGGCAGGCAAACTAGTAGCAGGCAAAAGATGTTTGATATATAGTTTTCTATGTGTAAGAGAAAAAAGGAACTAAAGCCTTATAAGCGAATTTGTTCTTACAGCAAGTTTTCTTGGTTTACTGTGCACCTCTGGGATTATCTGTGTTATTACGTAAGAAATGTGACGTATGATCAGTCAAATTTTATGATTTATGTAGATATTACAGGGAAAAATTCCGTCTTAACTTAAGTTGAAGTCAGTGGTTAATCAAGCAAACACTATAACAGCTGAATTTATTCGAACTATACAGTTACTTAACAGAGTATTTGTCAGAAAAATGAACGATACGCACGAAGTTGTATTTCAAATTGTTGCGATACCGAATTTGGGACCAACTTCAAAATCAGTTTTTGTCTGAACTATAGACGATTATTAAAGCTGAAGATTATCCTATAATCTATACCCGCACATAATATAGAGTGAAGTTGAACAACTGACCTTCCCAACGTACAACATTACACCTATATAAGTTTACGTGGGTTTTATACGAAAAGAAAAGTGTAATATTTAAATCATTTTTTTTTGATTTTGTGATCCAATAATATTCTTAAAAATATTTTATGTATGTACATAGGTAATAATATTATTACTATAATTAATCAATAAACTTCAAAAAATATGATAGCTACCACAAAAATATTAGAAAAAATTAAAATTTATTACAATTTAGCACAAGTGCAGAGTGAAAAAAAAACCCATATCATTCCAATTATTGCAATTCTATTCGCCGTTCATCTAAATTTTAATATTATTAAAAAGAAAACTAGAATAACTTGCATTCAATTAAAATTTATTAAAATTAGAAAATAAATACTTATTATAAAAAAAATTCGGAACTTAATAGCAAAAACTTGTCAAGTCGAAAAATCTGTTTTTTTGAGAGTAAATTAGTTTTAATGTTTAAGAATTTTGGAAAATCAAAATGCAGATTTAATCACAATTTCGAAACTATTCGAAGTAAAAACACTCAACTTAAATTCCGTATTGCAATAGATGAATAGAGAAATAGAGAAAAAAACCCTTATCTGAGCTCGGAAAAACCGAACTTGGAATTTAAATATAATCAAAAATTACAATTTTTTACTTTAACTTTTTGCCCCACAATTTCGAAATTTGTTAAGGTATACGAACCACAACAATAGGACAACAAATCAAATATGGCAAATTTGAATTGGTTATAAGTTCATAAAACGTTAAAATTTGACTTAAGCCGTGTTTGATTGTGATCACTGATATTTTACGTACGTATGTATTGGCGTATATTGGCATATTTTCATACAAGTGATTTGAGAATTAACAAAAATATTTATTTAAAATTTTCATTATAAAGGATTAAGTTTTCAATATTTTTAATATTTCATACAAAATTAGATTTTTGTATGGCGATGAATAAATTTATTTAAAAAAAAAAAAAACAAAATTTTATTATTTTGATATCTAAATGATTCATAAATAGTAATATTATTAAATGTAGCATAAAAATAAAATCAAATTGAATAGAAAAGTGTGCCGCGGACGTAAAAATTATAGGCAATTTTGTATCTCTGGATAGTTTTCAATAAAATTCTATTGTAACTCACATTTACTCAAATTTAAATGGCTTTTCAATTAAAGTGCGCATAGCAATATGATAGTACTCATTGTTGTAGAAACTCAAAAATTATAAATATTTACAAATCTTTGTTCAAAATATTAGAGTCAACTCAATGGTAAATTTGGATACTGATTCTTCAAAATATATAAAATACACAATATTTAAGTTGTAAGGTTTGAAAATAGAAGATGAGAAAGTTTCCGTCTATTTTCAAAATCTACAACTTAAGACTTATCAATTAAATTATGGAAATTATGGAAAATAAGGTAAATCGACAGAAATCAGAAACCTTATAAAATTGGAGACATTGAACTTCAATGAGAAATTTAATATTGAAATTATTTGCAACACACAAGTGTTATGAAACAATTGCAAAACCAATATAATGATTACGAGTGTATTTTTTGTGAAAGTTTTCATTGCAAAATGTAATACGAATAACCCCAAAAAAGAAACATTTTAAAAATGTCATTGCGTCGACCTAGTTTTCTTAATTTCAAATTGCACAGTTGTTTTCCAAGGACTTAGGAATGGCTTCTAAATAGTCGGAAGCGAACACCATTCCAGGAGGTCAAGCGGCGAAAACTTAAAGGGAAGAAAATGAAAATTATCAATTTCAGATTTCCCAATCGAATCAAGTTCAAATGAGCCTATAAAAAGATCATTAAAAATATCAAATTAAAAAATACGCAAATAAGTACGTCACGTCTCGCCAAATCAATAATTTTATTAAAAACGTGGAACAATATATTTTTCATATTGGCCAAAACTACTATGTGTACTCATGCACTACCCTCTCTTTCATAAAATAAATTTTGGTGTTCATGTTTTTATTATTATTTTAATGTACTTCATTAATCAAAGTGCCAAAAATATCTATAATTTTTATATTTTATATTTACAAAAATAATTTAAATATTTTCTTGACACATTAAATTTGATTTGATGGTATAAAACAAAATTCAATTGCTTTATAAATACAAAAAAAAATTTCACATGGTATAATTAATTTCTTAATTGATTACTTGATTTCAAGTTATAGAATTTATAAATTTTTCCTCTTTAAAATTTCTCTGTAATATTTTGATCAATTGATTGTTACAGATTACTCAATCTTTTCTTGAAAACAAAAGAAATCAATCAGAAATTTTATAATTGCCACATAAAATTTATTAATAAAATATTTTTTAAGTAAAAAATATTTTGCAAGAAAAAGATTTTGCATGTTTCATTCAATTTTCATAAAAATGTTAAAAATCAAATAAATCAATTTATTTTGGCAAGATGCCAGAGCCTTCAGTTAAAATGTAATAAGAATCTTAATCGAGAAATATAAATAAAAAATAATTATTAAAATAAAATTAAAGTTTTCATATCAATATTTATCTTGAAATCGTGAAATCTGCTCTAAAAGTATTAAGAAATAAAAATATAAAAATTTCTCCAATGCAGACGATAAAAATCTTTGCAATTCGTTTTTGGCAAACAGAGATATACTCTCCAATATTATAGAGTATTGAGAAATGTTTGATTCGGGGAACTTTAATTTTAGTTATAAAGGAAAATGAAAGCTGCATTTACGTCGATGCTTAGCACGGATCCAAATTAAAATGCCCATTGACAATCTCTTCAGATAAAGAATTCACTTTTCTCACCAAAGTGAAGAACATTGGATCCGAAACCCGTCCACTCATCTTTTGCACTTGTGATCTCTTGGGTCAAATCGCCCAAAAAGCACTTGTAATTTCTTTCACACCACTTGAACGAAGCTTTAATTGAAAAACGACACTTAAAAGAAACAAATTTCCCATCCTCCTTCACATCAGCAGTGACAGTGCGTTGCTCATGGGTAAATCTAACCTCAAATTTTTAAGACGTTCTACGCAAAAATGCTTTGTGAATACATTCTATACTATAATAAGACGTACGTACGACTGCTTGCGGGGCCCAAAACCGCACTGTCACCTCCTAGTGGAGGGCCCCGGTACTGGAGGCGGATAAAGGGGTGATTGAAACGATCAAAGTTACGTTCGGGTCGTGGTCATGTCTCGCGGCGAGCCTCTTGCTTTGTGAGTTTCAGCCCTATATCTATACGTGAAAAAGCATATGCCGATGACTGCGTGGCTAAGGGGGAGCTTAGTCGTTAGTATGCGGACTCTGGATACCAGGCGCCCTCCAGTTTAAACGAGCCTTCCCATGGCATGCCGGGCTCTGGCATGGGTGACTATACTTTCCCGCGCTATTCGTGGGAACAAGAAATGGAAAACATAAACAATAAAATAAAAACAGCAACAACAAGAACAACAACTGTGACAAATACAACAACTGCAACAACAACAACAACAACAACAACAACAACAGCAACAACAACAACAACAATAACAACAGTGACAACTACAACAACAACAACACTACTAAGGACACCATTAATATAAACACAGTTAGTGCTCAAGGGTCTGCGGAACCAGAGCTTCTCTCGACTGACGCAGAGAAGGAACTCCTTCACACGCCAGTAGAGGAAAAAGCGGCGCCTCCGATGGAGACGCATAATCAGGATCCTCTGGGACCTATTATCCAACAAACTGAGGAGGACGCAGTCTCCCCAGGGACAAATTTCTAAGTAGGATGGGGAAGCAATATCCCAGCCTCGAGATGAGTTCCTGGAGGGTGCTGAGGATGGATAGGGAAAAGGACGAGGGCTACTCCATCACTTTTTCCGTGGATGATTCCGGATTGGAAGATCTACGGAAAGCGGAGTTCCGACTTTTCCTGAATTTCTTCCGTGTTACCGTTCGGGTTAAAGGAAGAAAATCCTTTCAAGGTGCTAGCGGCAGGGCAGGGCAAAATAAGAAACCAACGCCCACCGCGACAACGATGAGTACTTCAGGCCAACCAAAAGAGCTAAAACTCATTGGAAAGTCTGAAATCACTCTGAAAACAGCGGAAACGGAAGGACCATCGACCAGCGCGCCGGATACAAGTGTCTCGTGTGAACCAAAAGGGCCCAAGCCCATTGGGAAGCCCGGTACTGCTTCGGTATCTGCTGTTGGAGGGGCTAGCGTGGCACCTAGGACGGCAAAGGAGGCTGTGGCAGGGTATGCGCCCACCAAGATGCGTAAAAAGGCGGCAATGAGAAGGCTCATTTAAAGCCTTTGTCTAAAGGGCCAAAGCCCATAGACAAGAGCCGGAGGAAATGATATGGCTGTGAGGTGCATCCAAATAAATCTACTATGCATGCTAGGGCGTCTACTGATGTTCTAGCTCATAGATTTATGAAGGATCACCTCGATATCGCCCTTATCTAAGTGCCTTACATAGTAAAGGATCAGGTTAAGGGCCTAACAGGTGAGCTACTATATGATAATACAATTGAGGGTAGGCGTAGGGCTTGCATTTTGTTTAGTAAAAAGCTAACGTATTTTCCCATTCCAGATTAAGGATCAGGTAGCTGCGTTGGTGAAGGTGAAGTCTTCCTAGGGCTGGACAGAGTTCATTGTGTGCTCATTCTACCTCACGGGAGAGTGTGCCCACCCGGACGAGCAACTGAAGTATCTAGTGGACTTTTGTGGAAGGAGGAATTTCCAACTTATAATAGGAAGTGATGCCAATGCCCACCACACCGTCTGGGGAAGCAGTAATATAAACAAAAGAGGTGAGTGCCTACTTGAATTTATATATAGCAATAAATTAATGGTTATGAATGAGGGCAATAGGCCGACATTCATAAATGCAATTAGGGAAGAGGTCCTTAACATCACCCTTTGCACTGAGTTTATCGACAGTAGGGTTGGTGGATGGCATGTCTCAAATGAGAGATCCATGTCCGATCATAGGCAGATTAGGTTTGATATCATGGTCCCCGGGGGCTTGGCAGAAGAAATGTATCGGGTACCCCAATCCACAGATTGGCGTCAATTCGAAACGCTCCTCATGGATGGGATTGCATCCGTTCCTGCTTCTGTCAGAACGGTGATGGATATCGAACTGGCCAGCGAGGCTCTGACGGCGGCTATTACTAGTGCATACGATGGGAACTGCCGCGCTAAGCCGAGGTGGAGCAATAGCAAGTGCCCGTGGTGGAATGAAGAGCTTTCAAGGCTTAGACTAAAGACCAGAAAGCTATTCAATAGGGCCAAGGCGTCGGGTTCGTGGGAGGAGTATAAAGACTCACTCACGAAATACAATAAAGAAATTAGGAAAGCGAAGAGAATTTCGTGGAGGGCGTTCTGCAAGGGCATTGATGAACTCTCCAGCAGTGCGCGTTTTCACAGGGTGCTTTCCAAAAATTATGCAGGCGTGTTGGGCCTAATGGAACGACCTGATGGCTCCAGGACTGAGAACGGAAAGCAGACGTTGGAGCTTATGGCGTCAACGCACTTTCCTGACTCGAGATTCTTCGGAATCACTCAAATGCGGTCACTGAACCGAGAGCATCCTGACCCAGGAGGGATGACTGGCAACGATCATGTCTGGTCTTCACGATGGGCAGGATTAGATGGGCTGTTTTCTCTTTCAGGCCCTTCAAATCTCCAGGTGATGACGGGATATATCCTGCATTTTTGCAGAGGGGTTTCCAACATATCGCCAGAGCACTGTAGGAAATTTTTCGTGCCAGCTATGCGTGGGGTTACATCCCTCAGGCATGGAGGGTGGCCTCCGTCGTACGGGGAAAATTTGAGAGATATCTGAACTTCTACAGCAAAATTTACGTGTTGTGAAGGGGTGGTGCAAAGGCGTTGGGTTAAATATAAATCCAAGCAAGAGCACTTTGGTCACCTTCACCAGACGCAGAAGCAGGGATAGATTAACGAGCCCAATTCTGTTTGGTGCATGTATTAGTTACTCTAGGGAAGTGAAGTATTTGGGGGAAACCCTGGATGATCGTCTCTCCTAGAATATCCATATAGATAGAGTTGTCGAGAGGGTTACGGCGGCCTTGTGGATGTGTAGGAGCTTTATCGGGGCGACCTGGGGAATTAGTCCCAGAATAGCACTGTGGCTATATACGGCCCTTGCTAGACCAATCGTCACCTATGCGTCGATTGTATGGTGCCGTAAGGCTCAGCAGGTGGGAGTGCGGGCCAAGCTGAAAAAGCTACAGAGGCTGGCCTGCCTGGGTGTGACCGGGGCAATGCGGACGGCTCCCAACGCTGCATTGGAGGTGATGATCGGATTGCCGCCACTGCACCTCCATATATTGAAGGAAGCTCGGCTAGTGACTTACCGACTTCTCTCTGGCGAGGACGGGGCAGGGCTAAAGTTGGCCCACAGGACTCACAGAGACTTCATTGAGAGCGATCCGATTCTAAGAATAACCATGTCGGATACCTGTCTGCAACGGTACAACTTCGACCACAAGTACAGGGTTCTGTTTCCCGATCGATGGGCGTGGGATCGGGGTGGCCCGGTACTTGAGTCGCGTTCGAGCGTTTGGTATGCGGACGGGTACAAAACGGAGTCGGGTGTGGGTTCGGGTTTATACGGTGGCCGACCGGACACCCGTGCATGCGCAACCCTTGACCCGTATTGCACGGTGTTCCACGCCGAAATACATGCAATAGAGTCTGAGAATCAATTTAGAAAGGGGGTATATAAACCGCACCATCTATGTGTTCTCGGACAGCAAGGCTGCACTGTTGGCGCTTCTTTCAGCTCAGGTTACATCCAAGCTTGCCTGGGGCTGCCTTGCTGCATTTTTGGGGTTGGCATCGGACAACAGAAACACGCTCACTTGGGTGCCGGGCCATAGTGGCCATGCGGGCAACGAAATTGCCGATGGGCTGGCGCGGAGGGGATCTGGGGCTGACTTTGTGCAGCCGCTGCCTTTCTGCGGTCTGCCTTCTTCCGCCGTGGGGACCAGACTTGCCTGCCTGCTCGCGGCGGAATGCGGCCGTCACTGGCGGGAGACGAAAGGGTGCCGTCATGCGAAAGTATTTCTTTCGGCGTGCTCCAGCGGCCTCACCGGAGTTGCTGGGGATGAGCAAGGGCCGGGTCGGGTCGGTTCTTTCGGCCGGGTTAATAGTTCGAATTTGTTCTATACATAGCAAAAATTCACATATGTAAGTGCAGCCGCTACCTATAATAAAATACTCTCCGCCGTATTATAGAAAGAGTAAAATAAGTTTTATAATTTGCATTTATTATTCAGCAAATTTTTAATTTATAAATTTTAATTCAATGTTACTGTTATATCGCTTTATTATGGAAGAAAATAGAAGTAGAATACGTATATAACTTATTTAAATATTCTTTAATAACTTTAGACTTTCATAATATTCTTTAATAACATGGAATATAGCCATGTAGTATTGCAATTTTGCACTTATAATTTTGTATAATATGATTTTGTACCCATATTATATTTTATGTATGTATATAATTATTATTTATTTTTTACCTACGTCATGACGTAATTAGAACTAAAATTATATTTTCTCTACTTACTTTGGTCTTAGTATAATTTCCTCAAATCTCATTTCAATAATTTCCTGTTCAGTTCCAGTAATAAAAATTAAAACACATTCTGAATTATTATAACGTTTATAGTCGGCCGATGAAATATTAAATTTTGTCCATTTTTGATTTTGCGTGCCACTTAAATAAATACATTGGCAATCTAATTTTACATTAAAGAAACAAAAAAAAATTAAAATAATAGAGAATATAAAGAAAATTACGCTAAAATGTCTTTCAAGGTATTGGGGGGAGGAGGTTTGGGATGGATTTTATAGGTTAAATATAAGTCACACGAAATAAGTATATGGATAAATGAAACAAAAAGAAAATATCATTTAGGTACTCACTTTTCCGGTATGGGGTTGAACTTTTGAATATAATTTTTGTTGACACATTAGATTGTGATGATATTAAAGAAATAATACTGATTAAGATAATGGCACTTGACAAGGATTTTTTAATAAAATTTTTCATTTTTTTTTTTTTAGTTTTTATTATTTAGATTTAAGATTATAACAGTTTGTATTCTTTTATATTATAATGAAAAAGGTTAAGAATGAAATCCATTAATTTATTGTATTGTACTTATTGTATAATGGCACCATTATTCATTATTCAATGCTAAATTTATAACAGTAAGTATTTCTATTATATTTTTTCAATAAAACACTGTTTTTATAAATATTCAATTAATTAGATCGACACAGACTAGATTTGTAATTATTAAAATTCTAATTCAAAATAATTTATTATTACCATAAAAGTTAATAAATTTTGTGTGAGTGAGGACCACTTGCAAAATACTTAAATGATTTCAATCAAATTTGGCAAACCGTCGATTTTGGTTTTTAAATAAAAAATTTAAATAACTTTTAGTTTATGTAGGCACCATTCAATGTTCAAAGTCCTACCGTTTATGATGTTAAATTTTCCATGCTCACAAATTTTAAGGAAATAAAAATGAATATTTTTTAACCCAACTGGGTGTTGTAAATTTTACATGACGTTCTTTATTGAAATGCATTCTTCAAAACAAATTTTAACAACCTTAAAGCCGAGCCGATATTTAAATATCGAAAACAATCACAGGGCAAACATTTTAAAATTTTTCTAGATGCTTTTTACAGTAATATCGTGTTTCTCTTTAATTAAAACATTCCTGTGGTAGATATTTGTTCTAGCATGCTGATTTTGCTCTCATGCAACAATAATTACTATTGTTAAGAATTCAAATTTCAAGTCTCTATTACTCATTTTCTACTCCCATAAAATTGCTTCAACAACAGACATAACTGAATTAATTTTGAATCCGATTCTGGGAAAGACTACATAATTATGATATTTTTTAGGGTTTGAAATCCTTTCGTCTTCATTTAGTACGTTGTAACAAATTTAATATACTTTTAAAAATAGGTACACCATGTAACTTGTTCCAATTGTTTTTATACCTTTCGTTGTATATTAAACAAAAACCAAAAAAAAAAATTTTGCTTCTATTTCCCTCCCTCCTCCCTACATACATATATAAAAGTCATCCTTTTTCATTAATCTAAATATAATTTTTGTCCGTTTTCCCATGTTATAAAATTAAAAAAAATAATGTAGGAGATTAAAATGGGTCATTGATTGTTTTTTACTGTAAATATTTAAAGACACCGTAAAGTTAAAAAAAAATTTTTATTAAATTAAAAATAGCTTTTATAAAATGCTCCAGAAAATTAATTAATATTGATTTTTAATAATAGGTAGGCTATATATGTATGTAGAGGGATTTTTCTTTAAAATATATAAAATTTTATTAGACAAAATGAAAGCACCATATTATGCAGTTTAATTATTCTGGTGAAAATATCGACTCGAATTTAAATTTTGTTTTAAAAAATTAATTGTTATTAAAATTTAATAATCATTAATTATTAAAAAAGTGTATTATAAGTGGTACTGCACTGCTTGCCTCAGCAAAATGAAATCTTACTGGTTTAGGTTTACTATCACTTGGCAGACCAGGTGGATAGCAAAATTCTATACTTGTAAAATTAATCTAAAGCGACCTAGACGTTTTACAATGCCATGATAAAATTAATACGTCCATAATACACATCATATATATTGGTTGCATATTTAATTGAAAATATACTCTACAATGTTAACCAAATATACCTCTTATCCTACAAGTCCGGTTATTAAAGTTAAAGCAAAGTTAGAGTATTATTTATGAAATTAATGAAACTGATTCATTCAATATAGAAAAAAAATTTTACACATTTTAAAATTAAAATTTTTAAAAATCAACTTTAAAATTGAACAAGAGTTATTGAACAAATTGCACTTTTATTAATATTCCGGAGCACTTTTAAATATCCGAACACGTTTTCATTATATTTATAATCGATTTGAAACAATCCGCTCCAATAACCGTTCTAGATAGAAAATTCCGAACAACTGTGACAAGAAAAAAAAATAATGTCTTTTGTTAGAAATAAGAAAAAAATTACAATAAATTACAACAAAATTTTTAACTATATGATTATGTGATTAAAATCTCTTAATAAAATTTAAACCATAATAAAATAATGTTAATCCTTTAACAATAAAAAAACCCTTATAAATTATAATACATAAGTCTATACATGCACATATGTTATAAGAGCACCGGTACGTCTATTGAATAGAAGTCATTCAAATCCATATGCCAGATAAAAATCAAAATTTCCGTGATATTTTCTAAATAAAATTCATATACCTACTCCGTATGTGTATAACATAAACATATTATAGTATAGCTAAAGGGCTGTTACAAAATATATATATAGATAATAAATATATATAAAATATATATATAGATAAATATATGTTACAAAATATATATATATATATATTAGGAAAAAGCATCCTTTATATAATATATGAATGAATAAATATAACACTTTTCTATAATTAGAAAATAGAATAAATAAAAATAATACACCTGTTGAATGCTCCTTACATATATGTAGTGTCGCAACATTACATTATATTATGTTTTTTACAGCTGAATACAGATTGTACTGAAAATTCTAATATTGTTATATATACAAAACATCAGGTATATACAAGATACAAAGTACAGTAGTACATAATTACGTATATGAATCTATACGTGTACGGTGTATATGTGCTTTACATTGAAATCTTTAAACATGAAAATTATCTCCTCTTTTACATATCCCATTCTTATGAAATTATGAAATATCATAATTGTCTTTCTATTTAAGAAATTTAAATATGGATTTAAAATAATCTGAAAAATAGCGCATTTCCCTTAATTAATTAAAATATTTTATTGCATACGCTTAGGAGGGGCAAAGGAGCAATATTAAACAAATACGAGAAGCACAAATCGGTGTAGCAGCCTACTAAATCACATCACACGTTACTAAAAGCACACCACAATTTACCTTTTACCTTTTACCTTATTTTTTTTATTTACTCTTTATCCTCAATTTATTAATATTTTTTGCTCATTATTATTTTCCATTCGTTTCAATTCCAAATTAAAAATTTGAATTTCCAACAAAAACTTTTTCAATCGAGTTCAAGTGGCCATTAAAGAGCAGATGGACTAGCAGAATGTTTCTAATAGGCACATTTTATTTGATTGATTAATATTATAAAATATTCTAATCTATGGTGTGTGAACACTAACAGATGCACATATGTATATTATTCCTGGATTCAGAGTATTTAATAAATTTATGATTTAAAGATCGCATCTTTAACAAATATTTAATATTTAATTTAAATAAAGTTTTTATTACAATTATGGCACACACACAAGGTTTTGTAATAATGTCATAATAAATATTTATGTAATACAGATTATAGGTTTTAAAATTCCATAGACAACAAACTTTTAATATAAAATTATTGGAAATCTTTTGACAATATTTGAACATTTCTAATTTGTTTTTAAATTAACTATGTGTTAGGTCAAAAGGAAATAAAAATAATTTTGTCTCCTATTGAAAGGTAATAAAACTTGAACTTTCGTGCAAGTTTGAATTCCATCTCTAAAACACAAGATGAAATAAAACAGTGAAATCGGACATTTGCGGCCCATTATTTAATTCACAACTTTTTGCGACATGAGATGTAAAGTTTAAGTATTAAAGTTTGAATAATATAGAAGCATTACTGATCCTCTTCACTCATACATAATATGTTTTCTTGAGAATGCTGACAAAGTAATGAACTCCAATAAATTACATATAAAATTGGTCATGTCTTGCAAAAGAATATACTCACAAAAATTTTGAATAATTTCCTAAATTTTCATTTATTTCCAAATATTAAAATTTTAAACTAATTCTGGAATCTAATTTTAAAAAATTTTCAAAAATGTAGGTAAATTTTTTAAACTTAAGCTTAAAAATGCTATAAATTAATTTTTCTCTTTCAAATTTTAATTTTTCTTGTAAAAATTTATAAAAGCACATTACACCATTTCTATACTATAAATTTTGATTAGAATAAAATTAATGTTTAACTAAAACTATACTTTAATAACGTCTTCCAATTTTCTTAATAAAAGCACTGCGATCATTTCTCTGTAATTCATTGTATTTTTCAATTGCAGTATTTAAAAATTCAGCAACACGTTTAACACGATTTAATGTTGCATCATCACTTAATGATTTTCCGATAGCTGGCATCGCTGCCGTAAATGATATTGTACATAATGGTGTTAGAGCACAAATTGCAGTTGTTAAAGCACCACCAAATAAAACTAAACCGACTGCTGATAAAGCAATTGCTGCTAATTTTAGCATCCATGCAAAAAGTACTTTTGGTATTAAACCTCTTAAAAATGACCAAAATGTTAGACTTGTTTCAGTTTGCTGCGGTTGTACTGGTATTATATAACCTTCATATCCTGTTTGAACAGCCAATGGAGTAGGTGGTGGTAAAACACCAGCAGTATATGGTACCGGACCACCAAAATAATTTAAATATTGTTGTATTGCATCTTGTGGAATAAAACTACTATAAATATCTGGATTATATGCTGGATTTTCCAAAACCTAAAATAAATTATTAATAATTAATAACAGAAGAATTTGAAATTAATTATTTTTCACTCACATTTGGATTTCCATCTTTATCTAAATATGAAATAGATGATGAACTAGCTTCTGCTGGTGATTGATCAACTTGATCTGTATTTGCAGTTATTTCAGAATTAGATTGTCTTAATTGCGGTGCATTATTGTTATTTATTTGCGGTTGCTTTTGATTTGGAACACTAAGTTGTGGTTGAGGTATTTGGTGTATTTGTTGTTGCTGCTGTGGTTGATGTTGTGCAAAAGCAACTGAATGAACAATTGCAAAAATTGTAATAAAAATTAAAATTTTCATTAACATTTTAAGATTAGAACTAATTTATTTCAGTTGTAGTAAATTAAAATTTTTATTTAATTTTATCTTTAACAAACAAATGTGTTTAAAGAACTAAAACCAAACATAAGACACGATAAGATTTTTATATTAACATCCCCCCTACTTTTTTTGTAAAATTAAGAATATTTTACATACTCTTATCACTTTTAATTTCTTTAAGACAAATTAGAAAACCAAATTCCTCTCTTATCTGTTTGTTTTATTGCATTGCAATTGTACCACACGCGGCTTTTTATTTACAAATATTTTAAAAATATGAATAAGAATGTGGGTCTCCTAATTGATGAATCACCTATTCAAAACAAAAGTTATTCTACCATTTGAAAGATTATTCAAAATAACATAATGGTGTTTAAGATTTAATACAGTCCTCAGACTTACTAGAAAAATCTATTCTCAAATTAATAATGATTTATGAATGAATGAAATATCTGAGACTATCCTAAAACCAACCTTTCGAATGCAAAATCCTATTATGTGCTTCAGTGATTAAATTACAAAGAAAGTAATTAAAAAAACAAGAAATTTTGTTTTTAAATTTTGCAATTTCAATTTCAATTGCAACATTTCAGCAGGTTAACCATCATAAATCATTAACAAATCTTATTTAAAATATCATTGTTTTTAAAATACGTTTAGCACAACCAAAATTATTTAGAAATCGCATACCATTTTTATGATTCATTTTTATTACACCAAAAAAAAAAAAGAATTTTCCGGTAGTTTTGCAAAATTCACTATTAAAAAAGAATTGAACGGAAATATTCATTCAACTTTCAGTTAATAAGGATAACGTTAAGGATAATAGTCCATTTCGTGAAGAGATAATTTAAAAGGAGATAACCTTTCTTAATATTTCATTTACGTTACTAGAAAATTCAGGTTATTCCTTTGGATATGATTGAGTCATTTTATAAAATCGGTGAACAGGTAGTCAATAAAATTACAATAACACCGACGGTAGGTACAGTTACCTTATACTATATATTACTACTTGACTTGTTTGACAAGTTTGTAAGTTAACAACATTGTATTCTACATACCTACCTGCATATGGAAATGTTGATAAATATGAAAATCAATTGGTATTCTAAATTTTCTTACTTATATTTTAAAGGTATAATTACAGTTTTTTTCAGACGAATTTTCCTATACATTTTCTTACGATATTTCCAATAGGTTTCCTTGAAGATTCTCTCAATTTCTCTTTATTACCATGCTGATTGCCGCTGTAACTCTACTCACTCATATATTCTCACTCACTGATTTTCATATATTCTTTCTTTGTTTTTCAAACTAGGAAAAAAGGATAGGAAAAATTCCTTTTCCTTACTATATTCCCCACAGTTGTTTTAGTGATTCCGTCAGTTACTCATGACTAACTCTATAGTTTTGTCCAAATATTCTTCCCTCTTTCCTGCTATGTTCCCAACCAAATTTTGCCGTTTTACATACTAATATTCCTAGATTTTTGTATTTGTTACAAATTCTAGCACTTGCACTGATTTAAAAAGATAAGTATTGTTAGTAATTTATCGAAATACTCATATCCAGTCAATATTTCGAATCCGGTGCGAAAATTACAATATTAGTTGGCGGGCCGGAATATACAAACTTATATATTATTATTTTTATTAGAAAATTATTGTCACGTTTTGTGAAAGCTTATAAAAAACATTTGATTTTTCATGTCCAATAAATTGTACATACTTAATGAAAAACCAAAAACTTGTAAACAAATCACGAATTTCTAATTTTAAATACTTATTATAAAACGTTTAAAATAATTATTGTGTACTCTTGCTATTTTTATCAAATTTTTTTAACTTACAATGCGAAATTTAAGGTTTAACGAAATTATACAATGACCGTAATAATAACAATCACAGTAGAATAAAGGAATCGATTATTTAAATAAAAAAATGTAAGCAGGGTAGGCATATAAAAAAAAACATACAATTAAATAGTAAGTAATATAAATTTACAACAAGTTAATATCGGATTACACAAAAGGGACATACAAATTGGATCGAAACCAATTTAAACGAGAAAAAATATAGTTGACCATGTCAACTATATGATACCCGTACGAATTTATTATCCTATGTGCGAGTTGACTATTATTTTAAGTTGCCGTATTACCATATTAATTTATGCATAATTTCAATACTGTGATTTTAATATTATTTAAGATATGGCCAAACTACTATTGAATTTGTGTGGCAGATACCACAAGGAGTTAAGAAATTTCAACGACTTTTATCACACATAATAGCCCTAATAATGGACTTCTTTTCAAGAAATATCTGTATTATAACTCCAATAATTTTTGTGATAATGCCAAATAATTTTCAAGTTGTATGGCACCAACCAGAAGGAGACAAGCAATTTTAATAACTTTTATCAAACATATTGGCTCTATTAATATATTTACATGTGCAAAATTTCAATACCATAGCTTTTACAGTTTCTGACGTATAGTCAACTAAATTTGAAACTTCTATGGTAGCTACCCGAATCAGTACCTCGATCACAACCAATTTAAATAGAGTTCTGGAATTTACTGTAATAAATCATTTGTGAAAATTTTGTGAACTTGGCTCAATTAGTTTTTGAGCTATCGTTGGGACTCACGAGTAGACAAAGCTAAATCAGCTCAGAATTTGACTCTGATCCAACACATATACTTGAGTCTATATCTCAGACCATTATTTCTTAGCGTTACAAACGGTAAGCCAAACTTAGTATACCCTTCGAACATACGTTCGTACGGATATTAAAATTAAATAACATAATTATTCATTGACGTATTCTTTTCATTTTATTTGCAACATTTTAGTAATTGTTATACTTATATACGTAATTTACTTTTTATATTCCATTCATTATAATCCTATAATAATGTGCTTATTAACTTAACGTGCATTCAGCTCATACGTGTCCGTTCCCACAATCCAATCAAATATTTATAAACACAACTATTAAAAGTATTTTTTATTTCAAATTTCTTTTTGCAAAGCACGCACAACATATACTCGTAAGTGCAAAATTTTCTTTCAAAAGAAGGCGTATGTTATGCATTATTTATCTATACTAAAAAAACAAATGTTACAACCATTAAAAGATGTCATTTACGTCAACACTTTCTTGTTAAAAAACGAATCTGATTTGGCCAGCACATTACCAACCATATTGTATTTTTCTCAAATAATATTGTCATTGTTCTAATAAATCTACTCAATTTGTATTAAGGCGGTAAAACCAATAAAAGAAAAGACGCAATGCTTTTGTGTAAAATTATTACGATTAGTAGGACTTTTTGGTGCCCAGAAAGTTTGCTGCATCATTCCTTCGATAATGCAGTTGGGATATGAGATTTCATTAATATTTTTGTTAATAATTTTTTATTTTGTTTTTGTTAATTCTGGGTCCAATTTCTTAAATTTAACCAGATTATCACAATCGCACACTTAACCCAAAGAAAAAGTAAATGAATATAGTTTCAGTCGCACTTGAGGTACAGGGGTTCAAACCTCCCTTATTGAATAGTAATTCGATAGTTGACAATAAATAAATGCAAATAACAGCAATGTATGTGAATGTCGCATAAGATTTTTTCAAGTTCAGCCAAATTCAACAAAAAGTGTAGGTCAAATTAATTAACACCCAGACGGCAAAATGGTGTCTTATACGTATATGTGCATAAGTATATTAATAATGATGTAATATTAAAGTTAAATTAGTTATCAAAATTGCAGAAGTAAACGGTTAATCGCGTGTGTTTAAGCAATATTTTAGCTAAAATTTAAGTCGGCTGTGAAAATTTATCAGCCTATAAAAGTTCCACCATCATTTTAATTTTGTTTTTTTTTACATTTAATTAAATTATTCTGTTTTCTATTTTCAACTTAATCGTTTTATGATGAAAATTCTGTTATATTAATTAAAAATGTTTACAAAATTTAGCGTTTCGCAAAAAGGAAATTACATGTTAGGTTAAAATATTTAATTTTTTTGACGCACGATACGAATCTCGTATAAAACATGTTTTTTTTTTATATCTTACAACTATTTCCTCCTTACGGTTGTAGGCTATTAAAACTCAAAAATTCAATTTAAATATTAATTATAATTAAGAAACTGTTTAATATATTTCGTAGTTTTTAATTTTTATATACAGGGTAGCCCTGAATCGGGGTTAAAGCTTTCGTAGTATGATTTCGTCAAGTTTTTAAGGAAAAAATTGTTCGCTTGGACGTCCGAGGTAATTTAGATATGGAAGAGTTTAAGAAAACGATGATCATCGAATAAATTCTGTCTAACAAATATGCATAAAAGCTTGGAAGCCGTTTAATTTAGAGCAATATGCTCTTTGTAAAATTTTTCTCAATTAATAGGGCTACATAATGGTAAATGATGACTAATCCTGATTCAAATTTTATTTTATCTAGTGAACCAAATTTTTCCTCAAATGCTTAAACACAGAGATTTTTCTTCCAGAACTTCACTTTATACCAGTGACACAGAGTAATTATATCATGAAACACTGTCTTATATATAAAAAGAAATTCCTAATAAAAAAAACACAAGTTTCATTAGTAGAAAATGTCCTTGAATATTTTTTTTCTTTGGTTTTATGACGATCCTAAAATTTGAATGGAAACCGAATTTTAGCGGTTTTTAAATTGTAAAAATCTACATAAAACAAAATTTTACGAAATTTTATTCTTAATTTTCCAAGAACTCCATCTCAACATTTAAATTTAGCTAACCAAATCCCTTTAAATTGATGGGCCTAAAATTAGAACAAAATTATCCTTTAATAGTATTGTTGTATTTTTTCATTTTATTCCTCACATAGCTATTTCTTTATAGCTATTTAATGTCCAATTTTTTTTTTAACATTTTCTAAACAAATACAATGAAAGTCTGTGAGTTAACGACATTATTATGTTGAGTTCTTTAATTCTTTATCCTTTTCTTTGTTTATTTGTTTTGATTTCCGTTGCGATAGGATATTCGCCATGACAACATTATACACGTACGTGTATTACATACGTTTTACCCCATCAAAGCATAATCATTAGATATATATAAATACGTATGTACTTAAAGGAAAATAGAGTTGTAAACTATTAACCAGTGATAGTTCTCTCTTACTGGGAAATACCGAAAAATACAAACATTTCCTTATTCTATTACATTACAAATGTAGTAAGATTAAAGAAGTGTCTAAATGTATAAGTATGTATGTATATTACTGGCACATTACTGGCAACAAAACTGTCAGGACCTTATACATTATTTTATTCATAAAATCCGCTGCTTAATTAAGCCAAGCTCCTATTTTTATCTTTAAAATCTTCTTCAATTAAAAGGTCACATGGTTTCCAAATTATCAACTACAATATACACTCATAAATTCACTGTAGGTGGTGATGATTCATTAGGTACAATTATTATCAATCTGTGACGTCAAATAATTCTCATTAGCTGAAAAACAATGATGTGGTTGTTAATAATAAAGTAAAACTTGGTATGATTCTTATTCATTCAAAAAATAACAATTTAGAACTGCGTTGTTCCATTGTTAACCATTGGTATCTACTAAAATAAAAAAGAAAATTAAATTTTCATGAGTATCGCCACTGTTTTTTTAAATGTAATCAAAATTCTTGTTTAAATTTTCGGATTTACCTTGATCTTTAATAGTTTTCCACCTTTTATTAGGAGAAAAAATATTGAAAAAGCGATAGAAAACTCTTCCCTCGAGCTTAGTTTATAAAAGTAAATAAATAAAATATAGAAGAGAAAAAAACGCAAAGTGTAAAGTCTAAAAATAAAAATTTTTGGAAAGGAAAAATTTTAGCTTATGCTCTCCTTATAATAGGTTTAAAAATTGTAATCAAGAACTAATGACCAATAATTATCAACAATTGAAATTGAATTTGTTAAATTTTACGATTTCTTTAATTATTCACATTGAGGTACATTCAAAGAATTCAGTTTTATTGATATTGTTTAAATACAACATTTAAAGCCATTGGATATGGGTAAATGAATCATGTAAAATAAACGTCAAACATGCTTAAACTAGAAAAATGTTCAAATAATCAAGAGTTGTGATTAACCGATCTACGCATATCCAGTGTTTAAATTAACCGCAATGAGACTTTATTAATTTATTTTAGGGCTCAGATAAATGCAATTTTTAGTTTTGCAATTGTTTAATTGCTTATTTGTATCCATGCAACTGTATGGTCGAATTCAATTAAGCAATCAAACAGCTTGTAATTATCTACAAATTGATTGCAATTTTTATTTAACACATTTGAATTTGCGTCGATTTGAATTGATGCAATAATTTAATTTGCAAGCGCAAACATTCTATATACTCAAGCAGCAATAATTGCAAAACTGAAAATTGCATGTATGTATGAGCCCCTAGGTATTACAACATATGAATTATGTCAAATAAGATTCCATTTACAGTCAATTGTGCTTAATACAAAAACTTTCAGCTAGGATCATACAAAAATTGAAAGTTTGAAATGAATGATAAATGTCCATAGAGGTTCGATCGAACATTATAAATAATATAAAATACTTATAATACCACTCGTAACAAGAAAAATTCAAGCAAACCATTATGTTGTGTTGGAAAAAGAAAAAACAAAAGCAGATGGAAAATAAGAATTTAGACTTAATAATATACTAGTACAGTTAACATTACATACACACAAACATACCCATATAAATAAATTTATTTACCGCTCAGATTTTCGCAATTTTCTTTTACTAAATTTTTTCGTATATCGAAGTGATTTTCGCTCTTTGTTCTTTTTTCTATTATTATTTAAAAAAAAAATTCTTATTTTTTGTATTGTTATTTATAAAATTTTATAGGAAAAGGAAAATAGAGAAAACAAAAACAAAATAAAAAAATAATGTGGAAAAGGAAAAATCAAAAAAATTAGAAATTTGAAATTTGTGAAAATTTCCAAAGCTCCAAAAATTATTTGCTTCTGTTTAGTCCAGAAAAGAATTAGCAACGTATTAGAGCGGTTTTTATTAGAAGAAAATAAAAAAGCAGACGAAAACTTTTGAAATAATTTTGTGTTTTTTTTTTTAATTTTTTTTTTAATTTTTTGATTTTTAATCGATTTATCCGTATTTAAAAAAAAGACAATAAAAAAAATGTGCTTATTTATTTTACTTAAAAAATTTCTTTAATTTTAAATACCTTGTATTTGTTTTATGGTTATTTTATTTGAACTTTGGGGCGATTTATTTCATTTTTCTTCTTCGCCCCCTATATAATTAAAAATTTATAAATTATAACAGTTCAATTTAGTTATATATGAGTGTGTATGCATGTAAGAAGAAATAACTGAAACTAGATTTATTTATTTAAAATTTTTTACATTGTTTATTTTTAATTTTATTCATTGTATCGTCGTTTTGCTGAAAGGTTGTTGTGGTATTGCAAGGAATAAAAAGTGCAAATATTAATAAAATTATTTTCGATTTTGATGAAAGAAATTCGAATAGCCCTTGAAAGACATGGGTGCATATTATATGAACTTACACACATACGTAGTGGTTTAAGATAATTGGATTGCATTCCTTGCTATTTGTGATCAATAATTTTTTTTTGTTTTTGTAAATTAGAAGTGACTTAAATATTAAATTTTAAAAATTATTTTCAAACAATTGCAAGATTTTAATTTCTTCAAAAACATTATATTCTAAATAAACTGATTATAGATCTAAACAATTGAGGATATAACTTGAATTTCGTTTATAATATGTGTATAAAAATAAAATATACAAGCATTTATTGATTAATGAATTAATAAAAAGGAAAAAAAAAATTTGAAGGTGAATACTTTAAACATTAAAATAGTATTCAATTCAAATACACAGAGAAAAAATTTATAAAAAAAAAACAAAAATACAAAAACGTGGTATTATTTGTACATTCTTTTTCCAAATTCAAACTGGGTAATTGTATTGATTCGGTAGCTGTAGTTCAGCAGAGGATTATTACAAAAGCAAAGTGAGTGAAATAATTTCGGTTGCCTTTTTGTATTTTAGGAACTTTTTTTTTTATTTGTGTACTTTTTATAGGTACATTTTTATATACAATAAAAAATCTACTTACTATAATTGCAATATAAAAAAAATTAAAAGAAATTAAAAATATTTTGAACATTTCAGAAAAAAAAAATAATCCTTGACATATTTTTTTTTTCGTAAAAGTTGCTTTGTCATTAAATTTTTTTAGTTAAACAATTATCGCTGTCGAAGAAAAGTCGAAAATTAAATATCCGGTACAAAACATTAAAATAATAATTATGGGTTAAATTAAGAAACAAGGAATAACTTCTATTTATCAGCTAATTTGCGAGTAAATGTAAATTTTTATTGGATTTAAGTCTAATAATAAGTGGTTAATAAAATAAATAATTTTTGAAATTAAATGCAATTTTAATTAATACCAACATTTCCCGCCATAAATATTATAGAACTGTTTTTAAAATTATATAAGAATTTAAAAAACAAAATAAAATATTTATTTTACAATCAAAAAATAATTTCGAAAAAGCCCATAAATTAAAATTTTATTAGGCTTTGTAAATACAATTACAAAATGCTATTTTTTTTCGATTTCTACTGTTCACGTATTTTTTGATACAGCGTCGGTCAAATATTTTGGTCATTAAACGTAGCTTTAAATAAAAGATAACCCGTTAATTGAAGAAAAATGTTTGTATTTTGTAAAGTGAGATACGTATCAAATTTTTGGTTCTCAACTTATATAAAGATCAGTAAAATTTAATATTATTTTATAATTCAATTTTAACTAAAATGACAGAACAGTTTATGAGTCAGTGAATTATGTCGTCGGTTTTGAATTTGTGCTATTTCAATTTTTTTTAAATTTTTTGTGTTATACAAATTTTTATTAAATTAATTAAATGATTTTGAATTGATAAAGAATACTTTAAATTCTCTTATCGTTAAAAAACACTCTACTCTCTTATTTTTGTATTCCATATAAAATACCATCAATTTTAAATTTTTTCAAAAATTTTAATGAAAATGTTTTAATATTGTGTAGAGAAAAATTAATAAATAATTGTTGTTATAATTTCTGTCCAATCACAAAGTTACAGGTTTACATAATACAACAATAGTCAATAGGAAATAAGAATTTAAAATAATTTCGAATTTTGTATAGCTGATATACAATAGATTATAGGGTAAATTCCAATAACAATTTGGAATATTCTTATATTATATAAATCTGTAACTTTGTGATTTATACATAGTTACATACTTAAAATACTTTGATGCAATGTCAGCTATGGCATGTAAAAAATTATCAAAATATTTGTTATTTTAGCTTGAAACAGTCATTTGAAAAAATAAATATAAATAATATCAAAAACATTAGAAATGACGTGCATGTCTAATAAAATAAATATTTAAATTGTAGGATAATAATAGGATACCAAAAGTAAACATTAAGATTTTAAAATCTATATGCAAATAAAAACAACTTACATAATATTGCACGCTATAATTTTAATAAGTAGGATATTAAAATAAACATGTTATGAATGGTAAAGCATAGTATGCATGTGAATTTTTGAAATAGTTTCTCAAATTTCATTATTGACAATTTCTTACAATATGAACAGGAAAGATATTTGAATTTATTTTTGTTGTATAATTAAAGTATGTATGCACTATATACCATAATAATTGAAATTTCTAATAATTTAACCTCCGAAAATGGTACACAATTGAAGAATAACTTAAAATATTTTTAACATTTTAATAATTTAAAATAAAGATTGAGAAAATAAAAAATTTTCTTATAATACTTCAAAAATTTCAGAATTTTTTATTTATTCGGTAAATAACTTAACAATAATAATAAAGTAATCAACAACCCTAGATGGTCTTCTGAAAAATCTAAGCGCTAAAAAGTAACTAAAAAATTCATATCCGATTGATTCTAACGATAATAATTATAGTCACAGTTTTGACAGAATAATTTGATTGACATTAACAAAAATTAAAAATATAAATTTGACAATTCATATGACATAATTTCATACATAACAATAGAACTCTGTCACGTTTAATGTCAACAAAACAAAATTTTACACCAAAAATTACTCTCATATCTTTTAATATTTTATATTTGTATTAATGTGTACAGTAAACAGATGCGTTCAAATATAGAACAATAATAAATACAAAAATAAAAAAAATAAATTCACAATAATTTTGACATTTTGCAATCAACAAAATAAAAAAAAGGAAAAAATTTTTTTTTTCAAGGTTCACAAAAATTTTGTTTTTAGATTTGCACGTCATGTCAGAAATAATGAGCATATTCATAACTACTAAGAGTACAAATACTAACGTCAAATTTTCTCATACATATTTGAAATTCATGGGGCGTCTAGTAATTTACTTGTTATTTCTACCTTTGGATTACAATTTAATAACATTTTGTTTATCAAAAATGGTACCGTTTTTCAAAAAAAAAATCATTTTTCAAAATGATTAGAAATGTGTACTTAATTCTGATTTCGTACTATTTTAGTTTCCTGTTTCAAATCAAAACACATTTACATAAATAATTACATTTACAAAACAAAGACTAACGAGAATAGGCTTAGTTGACCGACAACTCTGTGATACCTGCATAAATACTATTAAAATTTTAAGAGTTTGTATGATAATTTCCATACCCTTTCATACAACACACTCGTTTTCGTCTTTGAGTTCTCGTGTGTTTTTATATTACATAAAGTGCTGTTTTATACATATTATATGAGAGTTACCACATAAACTCTTTCTACCTCAAGAGTTTTTTTGAAATTAATGATCATATCACCATTCCCTTTTGCTAAATCTCAAGGTCAAGGCATAAGGAGTCACGCAATTTCAGCGACTTTTGTCATACGTAACAGACTGAATAATATATGTAATATGGGTGAGCGAAATATAAATACTGTATACCTCTAATAATTTCTGAAATACAGCCAAAAAACTTTTTTAATTGTATGGCAACTTTCCAAACCAAGGCAACGATCGAATCCAATTTACATAGAGCTTTGGCGTCAGCAATAGTAAATTATTTATGAAAATTTGGTTAACTGAACTCAACTAGTTTTTGATATCACTAAATCTTCTCAGAATTCAGTGCTGATCAAAAGCATATCTGTATACTTGAATCGCAAACGGAATATGGCAAATTCATAATACACTTCAAACATATGGATAAAAAATAAGTTGTAAGGATTTTTGACTTTTTACAAATGAAATTTACTTCTTCTTTACAAAAATATTACATAAAATTTATAATATTCTCAAGGACGATCATTTTTATATCCTTTGATACATATTATGCATAATATACACTGATACCAATATAATCGTGTATATAGAATGTACACGTGTATATAAAATTCATTTTAGCCATGACCTGCCATTTTTGTTGAGTTCACGTTATTCTTTTGTTTTTTTTTTTATCAAAATCTAGCATATAAATGCATGTACAATGTTATATAGGTTTTTTGTTAACGTAAAATCAATATGCAAAATAATTTATTTATAAAAAGAAGAAATATTTAAAAAAACAAAAAAGACTTTGATTTTTCTCTCTGTGTACTTGTAAGGTATATACAAATTACTGCAGTTTGATTAAGAATTCAAAACTTTATGTAGCTGGGTAGTAAGTCTTTTACACAAAAACTAAATTTTATTATAAAAAATTTGTAACTTCATCAAATTTTACGGCATTTGCTTAGGTTTTTCTCGTTCTCTTATGAAATATTTCTAAATGATTCTTACACAACAACCGTCTCCTATTCATAATAAATCACACAGAAAAAATTCATAATTAAAAAAAAAACATCCAAATGAATGTGCCAATAAAAAAATATTTGTTCCATATTATGAAGCTTTGATATTCAGCAGAGATTCAATGTAAAATGGATCCCTATATCACAAATTATAAATAACAAGCACTTCACATTTATTTCCATAGTCTCAGGATCTTGCCAATTAATAATTACAGCTAATTTAATAAAACTAAACATACCAGAATAAGTTCTTATTCTTTTTCATTATACTTGAACATTTTATTCAAATTCACTATATTAATTTATGCAGTGTGAATGATTTTTCAACGATTAACCAGTGATTACTGAATAAATATCCTTTACACTGGAGTTTAATTAATATCGAAAAAAAAATTTACATAATCTAAGTGGTTTTTAATGTATTCACTGAAAATTGTCTTCAATTAAAAAAAAATTTATTAAATTTCTTGCGAGCGTGTTATTAAAAAAAAAGCTGAAGGTATTTATAACATATATAAATATTCATTTATAATTCTCACCTCCAAGTCTAGTATATTTTAGCTTAACTTATCTTTTTTAAAAACGCAGTATATACAGTGAAAAATATACACAGTATGTACAGTGAAACGCAACATCCCGCCATATACATTGAAAAACATGCGACAAGAACATTGTGGCCAAAGCCATACTTGGGATCTTATATCTCTTTAAAGAGAGAATTTCAGGGCAGGTAATAAGGGCTCTAATTGTGCACTGTCTACCTCTACACGGAAGTTTCTTGGGTTTTATTTCTTTTAGTATGCTACCGACTTAACGAATGTCAATGACTTAGGAAACTTACATCCATCCGTTTTCCAAGAGCTGGTTCTAATGAAGGGGAAAGGGAGAGATTCGGCGGTACCTAGCACTGGGCCTAAACGTTTAAATGTACCTTTTGTTGAGCTGCGAAGATTTCAACAAAACCTACGTTTATAAACAACTGCTGCTATTCTTACCGACTTTACTGTACCTCTATTGTATCAGAAGAGTATTTTAATCGAAGTTCATTTCACTTTTCATATGAAAGAAAATTCAGTCTGTCAATGCTTTGGTATTTATGTAAATTGATTACATTCAAGTTTATTTTACGAATATCATGAGTGGTACTTATTTACAGATGTTATTTAAATTTCAAATATAAGCTAAGTTCGATATTAGAAGCAACCAGTATCGGAATTGGGAATATCGGAAACAGGAAATTGAAGCTCAACTACAGGTTGATTTTAAATTTTTAGCCATATCTTAAGAAATAGTAATTGAAAGATATCATTGAATTTTTATATATTTGGGTTTAGTAAAGAAACTGGATTCTAAGAATAACCATGTCGGATACCTGTCTACCGCGGTACAACTTCGACAGTAAGTATAGGGTTCTGTTTCCCGATCGATGGACGTGGGGTCGGGGTGGCCCGGTACTTGAGTCGGGTTCCAGCGCGTGGTATGCGGACGGGTCCAAGACGGAGTCGGGTGTAGGTTCGGGCGTATACGGTGTCCGCCCGGACACACGTATATATGCGACCCTTGACCCGGATTGCACGGTGTTCCAAGCCGAAATACATGCAATAGAGATCTGTCTGAGAATCAATATAGAAAGGGGTTATAGAAACCGCACCATTTATGTGTTCTCGGACAGCAGGGCTGCACTGCTGGCACTTCGCTCAGCTCAGGTTACATCTAAGCCGGTCTGGGGCTGCCTTGCTGCACTTGTGGAATTGGCATCGGAGAACAGAGTCACGCTCATTTGGGTGCCGAGCCACAGTGGCCATGCAGGCAACGAAATTGCCGATGGGTTGGCACAGGGGGGATTTGGAGCTGACTTTGTGCAGCCGCTGCGTTTCTGCGGTTTGCCTTCTTCCGCCTTGGGGGCCAGGCGGAATGCGGCCGTGGGGGCAGCAGGTTTGCTGGGGATGAGCAGGAGCCGGGTTCGCACTATTGCGAATTTCTTCACGGGGCACTGCCCAGTGAAGTACCACCTGCATAGGCTGGGAAAGTCAGGCTCCCCTCTGTGCAGATTTTGTGGGGGCGACGATGAGACCGCCGTGCACATTCTCTGCGACTGTCCGGCTTGGTTATTCAGCGCCGCAATTGTCTTGAACATGGGTCCCTAAGTGTTCGGGAACTGTTGTCCAACTCCCTTAGGGATATCTCTGGCTTTGTGGTTGGGACGGGGATATTATAGATGGGAGCGTGGGGAGGCTACAACAGGTCAAGAATGGCTGCGGTGGCTTTGGGGGTTACTCCTGTTCCACTCGGTTCCCTCGAAATCTACAATCTACAATCTAGTATAGAAACTAAATAAAGAGTTTTAAAATTATTTAACTGTTCAAATTGCTAAAATAATTTAAATTGCGTATATTATTTGAAGATTGAATTCGGGTTAAAACCTTCGATCTACTTTGAAAGTACAATTTAATACTTAGTCTTTAATAATTTTCGCTATAGTTGTCTTGAGCTTAATTACATTAATTTAATAATTGAAATTACATTTTGAAATAATATTGCTCCTCCTACCTCTCCCTCATACGTCCGCGTTTATTTATAGATTTCGAGTTATTTAATTTTCAATTTAATTATGTATATTGAAACAAATAACATTTATGTATGCTAAAACGATCTAATTAATTTAATCTTTTCCAATCCATTATATTAAAAGTTCTAATAAAAAGGTTAACAATTTTTTTTTTCCAATTAATTTATAAAACACATTTTTTGTTTTATTTTTTTAAGTTAAAAAGCTTTTTCCTAGAAAATTTATTATTTATAATTTTACATTGCATACAATGTATGTAAGTCCACACACTTTTGTTATGACACAAAATTGTAGTGTTGGATACAAGTTAATTTAAAACTTTAGCTTATACCCACACAAATATTATTGAGTTAGAAAGTTAAAGGCGATTACCTACAATAAATATATTTTATTTTTTTCTGACTATTTTGAATATAAAAAGCCTAGAAGAGTCCTTAAATTTTTATAATATTTAGAAAAAATTGGTTATTTTTTTAGTTTTTTACACACGGAGAAATTAAGGAGTACGAGAAGAATTTTCCATTGTTATTGGTAATAATCAAATTTTAAATTAAATTTATTAAATTATTTTTTATATATTTTTAAAATATTTGTATGTTAAAAATTTTTAAACTTAATTTTAATTAAATATATTAATGAGTGACTTTATTAAAGGTTAATGAGTGACTTAATTAAAGGTTAATTAAAATATTTTGAATTAATTTTAACCACAAATTTTGAGAAAAATGACAAGAAAAAACAATGAATTTATAAAAAATTTGAAAAATATTTAAACAAGAATAAGTGAATATTTTATATAAAATATTAATTAAATTGAATTATCAATGATAAAATTTATAAAAGTATGTTTACGGTATGTTTTTAAAAAAAAAAAAATTTTAAATTTCAGTAAAAACTAGAGTAAATATAACTAAAGTAAGCTAAGTAACTATATTGTAAAGTTTACTCGGGGATAGATGTATGTATATGTATATAGACGCTTCCATAATTATATCAACATGTTTAGCACTTAAATACTAGACTATTTAAGTTAAAATACCATTGTTGATCAGTAAAAGTGTAAAGTAATGAAGTTTAAAATTTATTTTTGTGAATTTCGGATAGCTATTGACAAATAATTTGAACTAAAAACACTATAATTGAGTTAAATTTATTATTAGTAATTGTAATTTCTAGGTTTTTTCGTGAGCACAATATTAAAATTTAGAACATATAAGCAATACATAATAATGTTTTTAATGTTACAGCGGTTCTGGCCCTACGTGGTATCGAAAAAGCGCTCCTTGCAAATGCTTATTTTGCATATATGTTTGATGCGACGCTGGTTTTAAAATTTTTTAAACTATTCTTGAATATTATACTTGACTAGACAATCATGAACCGTGAAATTTAAATGAAAATTTAATTTTTAAAACAATTATTTTCATTTCGATCGAGGTCATGTAAAATAATATTCTAATTTAAAGTAGAGCTATTCTTCAATTCATGTATACTACGACTATTATCGGTAATTTCAAAAATTTTTGGAACAATGTTAAATATAACATTTTTAATCAATGCCGAAATTTTAAATTATGTTGAACTTTGTCAAGCGTTAATAATATTTCCAACTTAAATAATTATAAAACTAAATTCCAACCATAAAATTAAAACAGAATATTTTTGTTCAATTTTTAATTTCTTAAAATTTAAAACTCTTACCAATTGAGCTAGAATTTTCCAATATTTTTTTATTTATAATAAATTTCTTTATTTAAATTCTGTTAAGAAAATTTCAATTAAGAATGTGCTTCTAATAGCTATCAACTTAGAACTGAACATTCTCTTTTAAGAATTTATTGAATACTATTTACAAAATTTTTTATTGCTATAATCGAAACTTGAAAATAAAAATTTTATTAATTTACTTTTTATTAAATGTAAGTAAATATTGTATAACTAGCTATAAAAATTCTATTAAATATCTTAATACTTTACACTCTTATTATTTAACCATTAACCTGAAAAAAAAAATCAATTATATAAGTAACTATTCAAAAATACTCAAGCAATCTGAAATTAAATTGAATATTTTCGAATTAAAAAATAAATATTTAAAAACTTTTATATATAAGATTTAAGAATATCTTAAATTAATATTAGGTCAATGTTATTCAATGTCATCATTCTTCTGTTAATAATTATTGTTTGTCGTATAGCAGTTTCAAAAGCAACTGCTATTATACTGCAAAATTTTTTGGATTTCAAATTTATTTCACTTCTTAACAGCTCCCTAGAATAAAACTCTATGTATATAGAAAAAAGTCATGAAACTTTAGAGACATGAATTTGATAAAATTAAGTGTGCAGAAATTCTGCACAATTAAAATTTGTTAGAAAACTGCTTATTATATGAAAACTGAAAATATGATTAATTTTATCTTAAGCAGCTCCCTTTTTGGAATTATTAAACCAAGCTCGACAAGTCATTTGCGTATTGTTTGCGTATTGTTGCGTATTGTTTTAATGAAAAAGTATTGCCCGTTTCATTAAAATAATGTTGAATATAAAAACAAAAATTGTAATTAAAAATTTTCTGAATTATTACATTTAATTGATAACTAACTGTATTATGTCCATTTAATTACATTTATTAAAAAATTTAAAGCTGTTTATAATTTTATAGAATTCTAAAATGAATAAACTACTCGTATAAGAATGGTGGCAATATAAAAACTACTCAACTTTATTATTTTGAAAATTCCGGAAATTATAAATTTTTAATTATTGCTAAGTAATAAATTCGAACAATTTCATATAATGAATTTTAGATTTTAATATTTTTAATTAAATTATACTTTTGCAGTTAATTTCGAATTTTATATAAGAACATGAAAAGCAAGGAAATTTTGTTAAATATTTAAAATATATGTATTATGTATATATGTATATATATATATGTATATATATATATGTATATATATTATGTAGTTATTTTTAAATCATTAATTTATAGGAAGTCAATATTTCCTTTTAATTATTATTCAAACTATTACAGAAATTAGAGTAATTACATGGTGCTTGTAATAAAAACTTCAAATATTTTTTTTACAATAACACCATTATTTAAATATTAAAGACGTGCATAATTAATCAAACAAGCACCCGAATTTACGAATATTTGATACCAAATGCAATATAAGACGAAATTCAGATATTAAAATATACTTGTAAGGTGGAATTTGTATAACTCTTTTAAGCAGTTTAAATTGTTTTTATAAATGTTAAAGATAGTTTCATGATTTTAAACAAAACTGTTTCATTAAGGCATATAAAACTCTGTTTCGACGCATCCATTCTTTTAATTTTGTCCCTTTTCATGTCACTCATTCTAAATTTCGTAATATAACTAGAATTTCGTTAACTTAATTGGAATTTCTTCATAAAACTGCAGAACAGATGGATGACATAATTAACGGAACGAGTTAATGGAAGAAAAATTAAAAAATTTTTCTCCTCGAACTGGACTCGAAATAGTGGTCTACCGCTTTCTAGGCGGACGTTCTACCAACTGAGCTACAGAGGTATGAAGAAATTGCCGACGAAATGTTCTTCACATTGGTTTCTACATGATTACTAAGTACTCCGTATTAGCGTTAAAATTATCTAGTTAAATCTAGCGTTTAAATTAGTATATGATTCCAAAATAAAATACAAGGGCACTGCATTGTAAACTGAAAATAAGTTTTCTACATTTCGGGAGTCGTCATACAAATTTGCTTTTTTTGTCGTAAAAATTTCTGTTTTGTGACAGGTAGTTTTTCTAAAATTCTTTATTACTACTCTCTTTATAATTTACTTGCTCATTATCAATTTTCTACATCAAAATTCAACTAACGCTTACTGGTTATACTTGCCGTCTAAATTCTACAAAGCACCCAGAATTTTTTGAATACGCGATTTTCTTTTTTCTGAATTTCGAAAACTCATTTTATACAATTCGGAATCCGTAATATAGTACAATTTTTTTATGATAGAATACAGAATGCGACAAGTCGTCAAAGTTTACGTTTTCTTTACAATACGGAATCTAACAGTAGTATATACTTATGTTACGTGTAATTCGTATAGGATCACTGTCCCAACATGTATTTTGATTATATTTTTAATACAATGATTGTGTTTTACATATACAACCCTACATTATACTCGTATTCACATTCAGTTTACCTGTCATGCATACATAATGTACTCGTATAAAACATTCACACTAACTTGATATACAATTATATTAAGGAAACGTTTAATTTGAAATAAAAATCGAAAATTACTATTTAAAAAGAATTTTTTATTTGTTGTCCTTTTATCCTAACCCCATTATCCTACTGATTGACCGCACCACAAGTCCCTCGTCATAATTTTGTTAATATAAGGAAAAAAAAGTTTTTTTTTCATATTTTCAGTTTATAAAAAGCTTTCATGTGGGTTAGATGCAATGATTTAATTTGAAATTATTAACCACTTTGTTTTTTTTGTTATATTCACACACACGCATACATAAACATTGATAAATTGTGATTTTCATTATTTTCATATTATTAATTCGTAATTTATTTACCAATATGGCGGTGTTTGTATTGATATTGTAATCTAATGCTAGTACTTTTGTTATACGTATATTAAAATTATAGAATACGATAATAATATACGAAAACATTTTATTATAATAATTACTTCATTTAATTAAATGAATTTATATTAAATATTTTAATAGTAGTATTGTTATTATTGCTAAATAATTTATTTAAAAATGGAAGTATCAACACGGGAAATTGTTGAAGATTTTGTATATTTTTTATTTAGAGGCGGACAAATGCCACCAATATTATATTATATTAAACCAAGTCCACCATGCCGGGCAATCCTATTATTAGGACGAATATTGGAATTAGAATTCGATTTAAAACAGGTCAATATTATGGAGAAAGAACATATGAAACCAGAATTTTTAAATATGAATCCTCAACATTGTTTACCAACAATAAATGATAGTGGATTAGTATTGTGGGAAAGGTAAGAAATATATATATTTATTATTTAATGAATTTATTATTATAATAATATGTATATGAAACAATATATTTAATGTTATACGCAATATTATAGTTTATAGTCCAATTATTATAATATTACTGGTATTTTAAATAGGTCTAATATAAGATTTCTAATAGAGTTTATGAATTTAAATGCTATTATAATTTGATTAAATTGAAAATTTAATTTTATTAATTAATTACTCGAGTATCAATTCACAATGCTAATTTGAAATCCCGCAAAATTTTAATGCGAAATATGTCGAAATGTCAAAATATGTCGAAATTTCTGGCTCATTTTATATTTAAAATCCAGCCCCCCCCCCCCCTTCCTATTTAATAAAATTCTAAATTTTTTTTAAATTCTCCTCTTACGGTTTTTCAAATTAAACCACTATATTGCGCTCGCTAAATGGAAAAGGTACTAACAGTACAAATTGTTTCAACAGACAATTTTGTCAAAAGCCGGATTTCAGAACAATGACGGTTGGTTGCATGTTCTAAAACAAAGTTCTATTATGAAATTTGCTCTTTTTCAAAACTAAATGAAGTTAAAATGGCGAATATCTTATTCGATTAAACTCTTGTGCCCCCCTTCCCCCCCTCCCCACCTTTTGCAACTCATTCCCTCAATTATTTTGCTTTTATTGTGATCTTCATAATAAACCTAATCTTTATAATTATTAATTATTATTTTTTTTTCTATACCCTAAAAAACTAAACAATAGCCGAGCAATTCTTGCATATTTGGTAGCCGCATATGGAAAAGATGACAGTTTATATCCAGCTGATATTCGAACTAGAGCTCTTATTGATCAACGCTTACAATTTGATTTGGGAACATTATACCAAAGAACAACTGATTTTTTTGTGAGTATCGAAATTTTATTTTCTTAATTTTAATAATTAAAATTTTAATATAATTTTCATTTTTAATATTTTTAAATAGTGGCCAACAATATTTATGGGAGCACCACTTGATGAAACAAAAAAAGCAAAATTAGCTGAAGCATTATATTGGTTAGATACCATACTTAAAGGGAGAACATTTTTAGCAACTGATAATTTTACAATAGCTGATTTATCACTTACAGTAACTGTTTCACAAATTGAAGTATTGGGTTTTCAAATGGGTCCATATCCTAGAGTAAGAGCCTGGTTACAAAAATGTAAAGATTATTTAGAACCATATGGTTACGATGTAAGATTTTATTGAAAATTTATTAATTGCCTAGTGTTATGTTAATTAAATTTATTATTTTATTTTAGGAAATCAATCAAACTGGAGCTGATATATTAGCTGAAATGTATTTTTCAAAATTACAAAAAACTGGAAATTAATTTTCTATAATATAAGTTAAAACAAAAAAATATCATGTATAACCAATCAATTCAGAGAGCAAATATGTCATGAATTAAGAAAAGAATATTGTAGCACTTTCGAAAATTTACTTACAATATTACTAAAATCGAAGAAGCTATAATATTCGAATTAAATGTAGGTTATCAATTTTTATATTTAAAGCTAATTGTAATGTAGTTTTATTTTATTATGTGGTAACATTTTCGTAATTTTCCAAAAATAATTTAACATGCAATGCAATTTCAATGCAATTAAACTATTTCTTACAAATACCCGAACTTAATGTGAAGAAAGGGTGCATAAAAAGGCAAATCTTAAAGAAATCTAACAAATTTTTGGTTACTATTTTAAATTAACTCGTGACATGTTCTATCGTAGCATGTGGTTGATTAAGCTATTGATGGTACTAAATCTAAGATAAAAACAAGTGAATTAATTAAAACATTCCATCTTAATTTCTAGAAATTTCAATACGAAGCTATCTATATATGGCATATGAGTTCTCTGAGTCGTTGTTAGTACACAATTTTAATTAATTAAGTATTTAAAACAGTAAAATGTTGTTCTTTTTTGATGTATCTGAAACTTTTTATTTTATTTCCCATATAAATTATTATAAATGTATAAAAGAAAAAGCAAACAAACAAACAAAATAAAAGTTTATATTAAATTTTTAAGTTGTTAAATTGAAATATAAGAAAGAAAAAAGGGTTATTTATTATAATCATAGGTTATACATATGTGTATTATAGACCTACATTTAAAGTTCCTGTAGACTATTGGTTAAAATTGGTGTAATAACACAATAGCAGATTCTCCTTTACAAAGCTCTTGTGTTATTATGTAACTATACAATACGATATCTCGTTGGTAATTAAGCTGAACTGAGGGAAAATACTCAGGTCCGCATTTTAAAATTAGTTTGTCTATAAAAATTTTCTGGAATTGAAGCCCATACGGTGCGTAGATTTTTAAAAATATTGTATTCATAATAAGAAATTTCAATTAAATTAAAAAGCAGGAAGCAAAATTTATCCATTTAATTGAAAAAAAGTAAATTCTACTCAAATTATTATGCAAATTTCGGAGTTTTTGAACCGAAAAGTTGTTAATTACAAATCATCGTAATTAAATTAACAAGTAGAATAGGAAAATTTCGAGCATAAGCGAATTCTTTTTTGCAATTTGTTTTTTATCTATCAGCTATCTATATATTCTGTTTTGCATAAATTTAGGAAAAATATATTTAAACACAAAATTAAACTTTGTGAAACAAGAGTTCTACGCTTTTCAAGAATAAACGCATACATACTTTGAATTAAAACATTATTACTGAGGTGGTTTCACATTATTAGTTACTTTTATTCTATTTTCTGTAACTAAGTTCTAGTTACCTATATAAAATGTATGTAGCTTCATTAATTTAAAAAATAAACCAGTTCTGTCTCACTTAGGACATTTTTTTATTACATACATCACTGAACATAAAATTTATAAGGAAAATATTAATATGGCTAGGCTAAATACACAAAATTTTAAATATTTTTGATTTTTAATTTTTTGCATAAATTCAGGCGAACAAGATATTATTATTAGCTGTTATTAAAAATGTAGTTGAGTAATTGAGCATTTGGTTCCAATAAGTTTTAACAATACAAAATAATAAAATTTTTGTTAATTTGCATAAAATTTCAACATTTTTGTTTAAGAAAATAAATTACTTATATGGGTAACTATTTTCCTAACTAATAAATTAGTAAATTATAAAAATCAAAAAACTAAATAATTCGATAAAATGAACTTAGCTACTCCGATTGCGTTAAATATAAAAATGAGCACTCGAAGTACATTGTCATTTCCTTGTTAACTCATAAAATATGTTATGTTGTATGTTAAAATATGTTATGATAACGACTATTCATAAAATATTTAAAAATAAATGATGAATTTCTTATGAAAATTTGTTCATAATTCATATCGAAAATGCAGAAGTATGTACTGATAGATAAGGCACATACATGAATTTCAGCTAAAATGTGTTAACACTTTCAACAAAAAAAAATTTCCTAAATTAATATCAAACTGCAGTTTAAATGTATGGAACAGACTCCAATACAAGTATTCTCTTCAAAAATTCAATAGTAATGTGGAGAGAGAATTCGTTATGTTCTACAACAATCATTTTCAACAAGAATGATCCCAACTGTTATGAAATAAATCTAATAAAGAATAAATTGAATGAATCGCAATAGCAAAAATAGCATGATTTAGATGTACAGCACAATATGTTATAATATGTAGTATTTTTTTCAATACATATGTATGCATGTATGTACATGTATTATGAAATTTTCGCTCATTATAAATTTGCAAATCATCATGAAATTTAAAATAATATAGTGGTATGTATGTTGACATGTAAATACTATACTTTACTATAATAGTTCTACTACTAGACTAATTACTATTAAATAATTCTATAGTAAACACTTTTTTGCAATACACATTACGTTTTACATCCTATATAAAGTAGTATGTAATTCTACTTCATTATAATTTTCGTTGTTTCATTTACTTAATGTAAAAATTATGTTAGTAATTTTAAGTTCCACAAATAATAAGAACCTACATTACATACTTTTTTTCAATAATTTAACAGAAATTTAAATGTGTTGTTTACTTCTACTCAACAATCAACTGAGAGAAAATATACTATACTTATCCGCACTCACACTTTATATTTTAAAATACAATAATGAAATACATTAATAAACATGCATAGTATTATAGTAAATACTATATATTATACTGTAGGTAGAGTATTATTATAGTATAGTATTATAGTATAGTTATATTATACTATACGTATTATGATAAAGCTACAGCAAAGAGTAAATAAAAACCTTCGTTGCAAATCTACTTCATATAATATAACAAATCTACTACATTTTCCCAAAAATTTTTATAAATTACTACTCATTTAAATCAAATTTAGGATCCTTAACATATTCACTATAGTATTTTCTTTCACGCCACATTATTTTTAGCAAGCAACAATTTGTAGAATTTTATAACGATAATTTTTCTTCTCTTTTTAAATATTGCAGATTTTACTACATTTTTTAAAAAATAAGCTTTTACACTGGCTCTTGAATGCAAATAAAGAGTACAATAATAAACACTATAAAAAAATCTGTAATATTGGAAATCGGAATTCAGAATAGGTTTTTAAAAAAGAGCCGCAAACTTCTATAGTAATGTTATGTTAAAATTCTAAACAAGTGTAGAATTGTGGAATTTGGGTTTTTCCCATCAAAATATAAACAAAGGTTATTAAAGTTTTATTATTGTAGTCAATAATTTTTTGTATGCTCAAAACGTTATTAATTTTATTTTATTCTAAATTGAATAGTCTTAGTCATACTATTTAAAATTTTTTATTATGTTTTCGCTAAAAAAATTGAAAACTATTTTGTTTGTTGATTTTTATCCATATTTGCCAAAACTTAATATCACTCCCCAACATATTATGGTTAAAGAAGTCAACGTTTACTACCTATGTGACATACCAAACGTCTATTATGTATCTATTTATATATTAATGTTAAACCATATACCTGTATAACACTTTAATATTCGTTAATGTGTTTCTGTTTAGCAAGAGACACTTAATTTGCATATTAATTCGAAAGTGTTAATTTATTTTAGAAAAAATGTAAAAAGTGCGATTGTACTCATGAAGGTCTACATTTTAAAAATCGCTTGAATATTTTCTTGTTCGTATCATAAATTACGTGAGTAAGTGATCTTCAAAATTTTCTTCTTCTACATTATAATATGTAATGAACGCAGTTTTGATTTTAGTCAGTTTGTTACATTGTTCAACATGATAAATTAATTTTTTTTTGGGAATTCCTTGCCGGAATATGCGTCATTTAATACGAGCACAAGAATGTAAAAATTTTTAAAAGATAGGTATGACAAAAGTTAAAATTTGGTAAAATTGTAAATCATAGAACCTTGAACTCTGTTTGGGTTTTAATAATTTTTTTTTATGTATTCATTTCATTTTATAGTATAATAATTTTCACATACCTATGAGTGTTTATTTTGAAATTTAGTATTCGGAATTTTTCAGGAAATTCTAGTGTGTGATCTAATAAAAGTTACTGTTTCCTTTAAAGACTATTTAATTTATAATCAGAAAATATTATTCCAAAAGTTCTTTCTCGAAAAACAATATTTTTGTATGACCTTCAGGTAGACAATTTTAAAATGGAGAAAGAAAAAATAATTTCTCTTTTTATTTTAATTTTTTAAAGTAAATCTACTTGCTTTATAATTAATGTAAAGATTAAATAATATTTTTAATGATAAGAGTAAATTTTGTAGAAGTAAGAGTCTTTAATGTTTGTTTTATCAGTCCAGCTTGATAATTTTTTTCTTTTTGTTTAAAAATAAAAATAGAAACAAAAATTTTTGTTATCAATTCGGAACTTTCAACGTTTTGTTTAAAATTACTCTTAAAATTTGTTTATAGAATGACAAATAAATTTCATGAGAGTGTATAGACACTTTGAATAACAATATTAGTTTGAAAATAAAAAATTATGGAGAAAATTTTTTGATTAATAGAGTCGGCTCGAGTAGTTGATTGCAGACATCTGTTTCTTCAAAATTATATAACTGTATTTAAATGAGAAATTTCAGATAAACTAGAAAATTTTATAAAATCGAAAATTTTTACTAGATTTTGGTAATATCTTTGAGGATATTAAACTGTTCTATTGTGAAAACTCCGCTGTAGAAGCAAAAATTATTCAATGCAATAAAAAACCATAGGTTAACAATAAATTTGGTTTTCATTATTTTGAACATATTTAAGTATATTACTTTTCTTATACCCAGTTTGATTCTTAATTTTCTAAATTAGAATCAATTGAAATACTCAACACAACCCGTAGAACTATTCTTACCACCATTATTCATTAAAATAATTTTATGTTAGTAAAAAAAAAACCAAGCCTTCACTTTTATGCAAATAGAAAATATTACTGATATATTATGTACATAACATACTTATATACATAAGTATTACATAATGTTAATATTACTTTAGCTTAGGTAGTTCAGTGTACACGGAATAGAACTAAGAATTCTAAATTTCTAAATTAAAATATTCCATATTAAACAAAATGTAATGTAAGGTTGTTTGTGTGTATATGTAAGTAAAAATTTACTACATACATATAGATAATAGTTAACTTTATATAAATTACGCTAACCCCCATTTATATTTTGATTATCGTGTATTTAATACCTAATTAAAAAGTTTTGTATTAAAATAAAAAAAAAGCTAAGAAGTACATTTATATAAACACTTGTAAACTCATTAGTATGTGTTATATAGATGGAGCAGAGTTAAAATTTTAAATGAGAAAATACTTTATTTTGTAAGTACTTATGTACATACACATATATATATATATATGTATATGTACTTGTTATTAATTGTGGTTTTAAAAGAAAATCTTTAAAGTAAAAACAGCTTCTATCTAGACTAATTTCACTTGTATCACTTTTAAATGGTTTCTAATTGCGGGGTCATCACAAATGGTAACAATAATCTATATTAAAATCACTCTAAATTTTTCACAGAAATGAATAAACTTAATTAAGATGATATACATATTTAAGTACACACATATGCACTGCACATATTTGTAATACTGTGTAGTGCATTTATTTTTTGATTTGGTAATATTTCCGAATTGGCGTTCGGATACTTCTTTTGTTATAGTGTCTCGTTAAATAATATCAAGTTGTAAAACTGGTTTGTATACCAGTTAAATTACTTAAAGTAAAAAAGATTGGGGTAGCAGCTTTTGTGTGGATATGGTGCCAAGGGCAAAATCAAAAAACCTCTCACACCTAATATTTAAAAATTGAACCAATGCGCTAGATCTCAATTTTGAATTACTTAGATGTTTTGTATTTAAAATAAATTTATTCTGAACTCTTTATTTTGTATTTCTAGCAAAACAAAATTTGAAAATCATACTTATTTGTTAATTAATAATGTGAGATAAAATTCTACAAGTATAAAAGTATTTATTTAATGTCATGGCAAATCAAGTTAATATCAACAATATACGCTTATAAATTATACATTCCACACATCATTAATAATACCGAATTTCCAATTCCCTAAACAAAATTCATTTATTTGTATCTGCATGGTATGTATGTGTGTTTATGTCATTTTATGATTTTATGAATATGGTATGTCACTTTACAAATGCAATTTTTTTTAATTAGTTGGTTGATTGAAATTGTATTGGAAAAAAAAACTGTTAAATATAACATCTTGTGTAAACACTAACAGGTTGTTATTTTAAAAGCTCCAAAATAAAATCTCCACAATACAATAATAATTTCTCTCCTCAATTTGTACAATATAATCATATAGATATTTAATGTTAATATTTTTAATTTCTGTTATGTTACTCAAATAAATATAAAATCCACACTCCACAGAACAATTTTAATAAAATTATAGAAAGAGTAGGTGAGGAGAAGAGAAAATACCGGCCGGCTAATACATAAAACGACAATTTCATATAAAATGTTCAGTTATTCCGTTTGAAGTTTCAGTTCACTTTGTTGAATCGTTTCGTATTGTTCGAATAAATTCTAAGTGTTTAGTGTAAACTTTTCAATTAATTTTTTTTTCGGTAAGTTTTTCTTCTTATTTTCTTTTTTATTTATTTTAATTAAATTAATTTAAATTTATGACTTTTTACCCTTGAGTGATGTTTTTTCTTATTATTAAATGTGTTTTAAAATGTTAAATAATATTTTGATTAAAATTATAAAATTGTGCTTAAAAAAGTAATTTTTTATAGAATTTAAGAGAAATCCAAGACCAATATTGGATTTGTGTAAGCAAATTGGAATTGTTCCAACAAAAAATAGTGTTTTTTTTTTATTATTATAAAATTCATATTTAGATTGTTTTGAACATTTTTTAAAATTGCTATAAGTATGTATGTATGTATGTGTATATTAATAGTGTTTTATGAACGCAACTTATGAAGTAGACCTATTACGACTTACGAGTTTTATTCTTCTCAAATATTGATTATTTTTAGATGAAATTTGTGTTACATATATACATAAGTGATTATATTATATACATATGTGTATATGTAGGTATCATAAATGAAAAATCATATTTTTGTTTTAAATAGTTGCTTGTGGGAAAAGAAAATAACATCCCCCAAAAAATTTGTTATGGTCAATTTTGCAAATAATTGCTTAAAGTTAAAAAAATCCACTATAATGTTAAAATAACATGACATATCAAAAAATGGAACATATGACATTAGTTTATATGAGTGGATCGAGCTCAATGGATAAATGCACAAACGTACCAATTACACTTTTTAAGCAATAAATCTATTCAAAATGAACAGTGCTAGATACGTACGTATCTACTTATATCTAATCATTTGTGTATGTCTCCATACTGACAAGTGACAAGGGGACTAATAAGCTGTATCAAGTGTACCCATAAATATTTCAAATTGATTTGATGCTTAATTCATCAAAATTTATTAAATCATTCAATTCCGAAATATGTTCTAGAAAGTTGATTCATATTAAGTTCTAGTAGAGATATCAAAAATCAAAAAAGCTTGTTTTGTCATGAGTGAATAAACATATTCTGTTAAGATAGCTATTATTGTCATAACTTTTAATTGGATATTAAATTTAACATTAATTTTTAATTATAGATCTAATTTCGAAATAAATATATTCTTAACGATCTTTTATGGAGTTAGTAATTAAACAAAATTTTGGCCAACATTCAAAAAAAAATTTACTTAAGTTGTTTTCTAAATAAATAAAACTATCTAATAAGTAAGAGAATATTGTAGCCCTATGACTCAAAGTGAAAACAGTAACCACATAGAAAAAGCATTCTTTTCAAAATAAAACCTGAACAAATAAAAAATTTCCCAAAAAAATATATAAGGAATTTATTTGTATGTATACCAAATTTTTATCTAAAATATTCAATTGATTTAAATATTTTATACGCCACGTCAATAACAGGTTTCCATAATGACTTTTAAAGGATTTATTTATTAGATTTTGTCGAGACGTAAAAACAGAAAAAAATTATTTAAAAACAAAAAAATAAAAAACGACGCCTACCGGCAAGTGATGTAGAAAAAAAAAACTTTTTTTTTAGTACCACTACTTATTTTTCACTCGTTTAATTTTTGGTCAAGTCACTACTACCTTTTAAGTAGACTTCCAGTATTTTATCTACACGAGCAAAACAAAAAAATAAAACAATTTCCAATTTTTCATGATCTCTAAAGCAGATTACTGTAATAAAAAATGCATTCCTAAATTATTTTTCATTTTACTTATAAATTCATTGAATAATTTTAAAACGCCCACCAATTCAACCATTAAATTTATTATATTCTGTATAACAATATCTATAGCCGCAATTACCGCCGCATATACACACATACATAAATAAAGTAGCTTAGCTTTACTATGCATTGATCTATTCAAAATTATGTATTTAATGTATAACAAATTTACAGTTAAATTAAAGGTACATAGTATAAAGTAGAAGTATACTTTTATGCATAAAGCATATAGCATTCATACTTATATCTATTGTGAATAAATCCCTGATTTTGAATTGAAAGAAAAATTGCTTATAGTGTTGCAGTTTTTGAAAATATTTGCTCCATTTTGCTGCATAATATTAAAGAAGTTTTAAATAAGACTTCACCATAGTCAGTTTATTAGTCATGTGAGAGAAATTTTTAACTTCGTTTTAGAAGGCAGAAGGCTTTTATGTTTTTTTTTATAACAGCAAGAATCTAGATTTTGAAAATTCAATGTAATCTAATGGAAATGACAAAATAAGTTTTGCTTTACATTTTGTTATTCCTCATTAATTAAAATTTGCTCTCTTGAGCAGGCGGTTGACATATACTTATTTATTAGAAACTGATTATATACTGAAATTCAATAGTGCAACTTTACTTATTTTGGGTTCATTACTTGAAGTAAAGATCAAGCATCTGATAAAATTGAAATTGCTTTTGCATTAATGACATAAGAGCATTATTATTCGAATAATGTGCTAAAATGCTCCAACCACAATTCATACTTTACGAATATTAAAACTAGTCATACATGACTGCTCAATATCATGTTAATGTTGAAAAAATTACTCCGATTATGCTATAATATAAACTCTTTTTGAACATCAACGACAATACTGTTTTACCTTTGAAATGCAATTGTGTTACAGAATTTATGGCTTAAGCTGTACATATACCAACGTTTGATATATGTATGTGTGTGTCGTATTGAAGAAAAAAAATTGAGATCAGTGTAAAGATTTTGAGAATTTTATGTTTTGTATTCAGTTTGGACGATGTAGAAAATTTTCCAAAGCATTTTAAGATTTTTTGCTTTGAGCTCAATTTTAGTTTCAAAATTTGTTTTTTTACTTTTATAACATTTTTTATATCATTAAAATAATTTCAACAATACTCGTTATTTTTATAATAAAAAATTGTAACCGGCTTTTAAAAATCATGGATCTGAAATTTAAAATTGTATGTGTACATAAACGCCACTAGCGGTAAATTTAAACATAAACTTTTGTCTCTATATTATTGTTAATTTTTGCTCTACAATATTTTAAAGAATGTGAAAGCATGAAAATAAAAATTACGGAAAATAATGATGATAAATCAATGTTGGAGAAAAGAAAAGAAAAACATGCAGAAGACAATGACCCCAAGTTATCAGAAGACAAATCGATTTTTTTCTTTAATCCGTACTTTAACTTAACGAACAACATTTTTTATTCAATTATTCCATTTACGGAAGTTTTTTTTGGTAGAATAATCAATTTTTTTAAAATATGGAAAAGTAAAGAAATACTCTAGTTACTTATTTAGAGTACAATTTAATGGAAAAGTGCAGAAAAGAAATTCACATTTTCGCATTAACCAGTGTTTACACCTACACACAAGATTTTTTTAACAGGCGGTTGAAGATTAGTTGTGAATATTGCAATAATTTTTCGTTGTAGGACCATGCAGATTTAGGAGAAAAATGTTAATATTTTTTGGTATGTAATCAACGGGTAAATCGGTATTTAGACTAAATTTCAATTGTATTTTGTTAAAGTAAGTTGTTTGGGTGAAAAATTATTTCCGCAACCTACGGAATTTTATTATTTTAATAAATTTTCTAACAAGATATGTAAAATTAATATTGTATTTGCACCAATATTTGTGTAGGTTCAATATTAAATGCTTTCGATATTCTTATCTTTTATAATTATACTTGAATATTTGTTTTTTTAAATTGCCCATTGTACCCCCTTCTCTTTGTAAACAGTTTTATTTACGTGAGCTGTTTCTGTCCGCACAATAAAATTTCTGTACTGATCACATTAAAATATTTTACTAAAAAGACTGCTTTTTTGCAAAAATTACTTAACAAAACGCTGGTTTTGGTTTAGTAAATGCATCCCATTTTGTTTTCATCCGAATTCAAATAAGTAAATGCAAAATACCTTTTAAAATTAAATTCAAAATTATAAATTTATGCCGCATTTAAAAGGGTGCATAGTTCTCGAAATTTTATTAAAAATTATGCAATCAATAAAATTTGTTTTTTTTTTTATTGAAAATTTTAAATCACTCCAAAAAATATGCTTTTAAACATTTTTATTGGATGTTGAATTATCAGTGGATTTTTTTAATTTATCTCAAATAAACATGAGCTGATAATAAAATAATTGTACTTGTTTACTTATTTTTAATAACTGATATTAAAACAACACTTATGTGTTAAGTAAATAAGTAATATTTGTATGTATATAACAGAATTTAAATTATATAGAATATGTATGTATGCCATTTTATCAATTTAAAGTAAATAAGAGTAGGTATTGATAAAAATTAATTTGTATTTAATTTAATTTTTAATATTTTTAGATAATAAGTTTTCAAAATTATATTCTAGAATCTGAATTACTTTAGAGAATAATCCTTGATTTTTAAAATGCAGTAAATACGCTGTTAATACACAATTCAGCAATTTAAACTTATAAGCTGAATTGTGTTTTAATATCGTATTTACTGCATTTTGGAAGTCAATGGAGAGTAGAATTCGTTTGGAAAAATAATGGAGTTAAACAAATAAAGAAATTTAGGAAGAACTTTAGCAGTTATAATATTAATGATCACCGATTATTTGTAAAAACTAAATAATGGCGAAAAAAATATGACGTAATGTTATTGACATACTAGAATTTAATATGTACATTGTGTACATACATATTAAGTTAAAATAAAATTAATAGCAATTATAAAATCATTAAAATTCCAAACTAATATCATTTGAAATTTTAACCAAATCTTTGTAAGTAGCTATGTATATTATTTTAACTTGTTTTTGGAGTTAATTCCAAACCATGATATAAAATATTGTGAAAATAATTTTGAAATGTATAATTTTTGTTTTACTATATACTTATACCCGTATGAGACACTTTTTAGCACTTTTCCAAAAATTTTTTGAAAAAAAGTGCTTATTAGTTTCACTCTGTCCGTCCGTCCGTCCGTCCGTCCGTCCGTCCGTCCGTCCGTCCGTCCGTCCGTCCGTCCGTCCGTCTGTC